CTTCTATTTATTCTCTTTTGTTATCATAGTCTACTTTGCCTAACTCTCTTGTTTATTTTGTGATTATAACATCCTAATATTCTTTGATTATACATAGGTTCAATGGTTTAATTATAGAAATATGCAGTGATTGGAAAATTTGAACAGCAAGTGCTGATGTTACTAAAATCTGACTAGTGATAGTTGCTTGCTACTATTTGGTGTAGTTTGATAAAGTAATTACAGTAACAATACATTCCAATTCATGGCTCCATGTAAAATACAGCTAGTGTTTATTCTAAGTATCAAGTCTAAGTATTCAGTCTGAGTGTCATTCTAAGCTCTTGTAGATCATATGGATGTTGAGTAAAAATTTACCAGCGCTTAGCTTATTTTGCTTCTTTGTTTATTTTTTTTTCACTGAGTAGTTCTCTGGCTGCTTCTTTTCAACCATGGATTATACTTTCTTTCCCTGGAGGGTTCTCAAAGGTCTGCCTTTTTTTTTTTTTTTTTTTTAATAGAAAACTTGACATGTATCTACGCTACAGTGCTTGTTTTGTAAGAGTGTAAGAATGCGTTTTGTAAGAGTAAAATGTATTTCATTCAGTAAACCATCCACTGTGGCACTTTAGTCTCTGGTAACTATATCAGTCAGTTTGCCTGTGTACGCAGAACCTAAAGGAATCTAATGTTCGAATTTCTCTGAAACAAAACCAATTCAGGTGCTTTGCTCCCTTTAGAATCCATACATCTATTTTCATCCTGCTCTCTCTCACAATATTCAGCTTTCCTGTCAGGATATGATGTGCCAGTTCTCTCTTTACCTTCTGTTCCTCCTGATTTGTCATTTTTTTTTCTCCATCTTAACAGTGGAAGAAGAAGAGTCATTAGATGCAGATGGCTTTCCAACTAATAGCTTCTCAAAAACAAAGTGGGGATAAACTAGAGGGCATTAGGGAGCTAGAGGTTCCTGCCATATAGCTCATTTCACATTACACATTAACCTCAGGTCTCTAAATGTAGATACCACCTTTAGTCAGGAAAGAAGCCTGCTTGTGGCAAACACATGGACCCTAGCCCCTTGATCTAGAAACCTTAGTCAAGAGACTTCTCCTTCCTCGTGAGCACTCAGACTGCAGCCATAGAAGTTCCTCCACCTTCATCTCAGTTCCCCAGCCTGCAATCAGCCACACCAATTTTCCTCTCCCTAGAAAAATTCCTCCCAACCTTGAGTAAATTTCCTTTTTGCACTCACACTTATCTTTCCATGTGTCTTCTCATTCATTTACTTTTCTCTTGCTCTTTTTTTTCCCACAAAACTCAAGTCGTATCCATGGACCTTTAAGCTTAACAGCACCAATCACTGTTTTCAACCTGCAGATAGAGAATCTCTGGACATCTGCTCTACTGCATCTTGCCATACAGCATATACATAAGTGTTCCCCACACTTTCCCCAAATCCTGTTTAGAGAAGAAATCACGTTAAACAAGAACACTAATTTCTGCTCATTCCCTACTCACCATTCTCCTGTTTTTGTTACCAAAAGTTATTCAATTGCCAGAAAAATTCAGGGACCCTCACCTTTCAGACTTCTCCTAAAATCAAGAACTACAATTACTATAGGTCAGAAAAACTGGTGGATTTTCCTGCTTGTTTAAATGAGTTAAACATGTGTCAAGGTGAAAATCTCCTTACCTGTGCTACGTCTCAAACCACAAAAGTATTCAAAATAAAACTTAAAATTATGGTATGTGAAAGTGATGGCAAATAACTGCATGCATTTTGATATGTTGGTTAAACACAGTCCTGTAAACAGGGAAAAGTATGCAGCTGTGCTTTCCATTTTAATAAAGAAATATGAAAAAATAATTCTGAGATTTAATACATACATATATATTTTTTGTATAATTGCAACTCCCTATCAGTCAACATAAGCACATTACCTGCAGGTTTTCAAATGGACTGTATAGATTCACAATCAAACATTCAACTCAAAAATCTGATCACCTCTCTTTTCTAAATTTCTTGTAAGACCAAAGAAAAATATCCCTCACTTCACAAGTGTGCCTTATTCATGTCATCACTTTTTTTGGCCCACTTGTGAACAACAGTTTTCAAGGAAAGAATAAAATTAGATCAAAAATCTCTGACAAAGACCCAGAACACTCATTAAGAGTTGCACCCACTGCCATCAAAGAGGACACTGGTACATCATTTTCACAAAAACAAGGTCAAGTATCCCACTAGTTTAATGTTGGTTGTTCCTCCCACCCCCCTTTTTTTTTTTTCTATTCTAATAAAATTGATATATTTTAAAAAGAAACTTTGTTATTTATATCCATCAACTATATCATACATTTTACACGCGTCCCAACACAATTCCTCCTCCCTCAATATGGTCCAGGAAAGCCAAAAGGTTGGACACCCACAGTTTCAGTTATTAAAGTGTTTCTGACCTGCTCACTTTACTGGACAGGCCTATTCCCTATGATATAGTTCAGCTTTCTGTTTCCCATTTGTCCCATCAAACACAGCTTGTAGTAACTTCAGTCTCACCTAAGCTAATTCCTAGCTTTCATCTTTCTTAAACATACCAAGATCTTTTAGCATACGCATTCTTCAATCAACAATTCCATGAAGCACTTACTATTGCCCCACTCTCATCCCTTCCCTCCTAGTGAATTCTGTAAACAAAGATTTACTTGTTACTTTTTTTATTTCCAAATTACAAAACATGTCTCAAAGTTCAAATCAGGGGTATTAATTAAAACCTCAGTTTTTAACCTCCAGAAGACATGCATTTTGTTTTACTTTCCCTCACTTATGAGCATATAGAGAGCTATGAAGTACTGCTGTACATGCACTGAATATTAACTGCACACAGGGTAAAAGTTATCACTAAACAAGGCAGTACATTCCCTCCCACTGCACAGTATGCAAGGTGTCTGGGATAAGTAAATGGACCACAGAGCATGCAGAACCCCCAGAGTTAAACTACCCTGTGTTCAAAGGTTGAAACTGAGCAGAGAAGGAACTACCACCAGTAAGGGAGACTGCTTATTAAGCAAAAAACAACACCTTTTACATGACTGCATGCCTGTTTATCATACTGGCACGTTAGAACTTTATTACTAACTTCAGTTGTTTAGGGAACAACAGCTTTTATTAACATTTAAAACTATTCAAACATATCACAGTAGATATTTCTATATTTCAACAAACAAGCAATCAATCTGTCTAATTATCTTCACCCAATTAAGCACTCCAGATAACAATTCCCAATTGAACTCCACTGCAAAAATAATTATTTCATATAAACCCCCAACACACACATTTCCCCATGCAGATGTACACAGCTCTTTGTATGAAATTTATTTCAAATTTAGCCCATTCATTGCACACCTTAGCAAAGTGGCAGCTTGTAACTCTTGAGAGCATAGACCTATTTTAAGTGTCTATGTGCTGAAGTGCAAGAGCTCCCACCTCCAATGTGCTGAAAGACACTAAATATACAGTGTAGCCAAAGGCAGGTAGTTTATAAAAGATGGAAAACTGTATCTCACCTTAGTTTACTGTTATTTAACACATTTTAAAAATGTGTTACCTATGTTTCATGGCAGAAACTAATCTGGGCTAGGTGGTCACTTCTGCCTGCAATTTGAGGGACCTACTGGTGGCATTCTACTTTTCTGATTCCTCCAGCAGCAGGTGTTTTTTCTCTTAGTAGCTAAATAAGATGGATGGTTATGAAATGTATGTGCTCACCGTAAGATAAGCAACCACCTCTTACTTTTAATGCTTGCTTACAGACACATTTTACTCCTGCTACACACAGTAGCTATGTAGAGTATTAAAAATTAAAATCACCAAAGAAACTGGGGTGATGAAACCGTTTAGGGAATAGCTCTGAACTACAACTAACTGCTCTCAAATATTTAAATGGAGGAACATGTCTACAGATGCTACTTGAGGCCAATAAACTTGGCTCTCTGAATCTAGAGTAGAATTAAAATTGTTACATGTGTGTTTAATGTAACTAAACACAAGGGCCTACTTGGACACCATGTCAAGGTTGACAACCCTTAGGTTACTCAGTCTGTCACCCCCAACACACTTGTAATTCAGACAGAATAAGTAGATAATACCTCAGCAGCCATGCATATAACAGTGTTTTAGTTGCTGGAACATGAAACACTCCAAGACAACCACAACAGGCCCAACTGCATGCTACTTTAAAACAAAACTGTAGATAAAGAAAAGGAGAAGAGGGGGTGGGAAGGGTGCAGCAGAAAATAAGAGAGCTCCCAGGAGGAAACGGTAGTTACCAATAGGAAGAATAGTGGGAAAATTCATTCCAAGTTTCTGGAGACTGCTAAAAAATTAGTAGTAATACAATTAAATAGCATTGGGCCATGGAATACAGATTCCATTCCATTCCATTTCCAACAGAAATAAAAAGATTTTTCCCTTACACAATTATTGCTTGCTTTGATTTATTGGGAAAAAAAAACCCACAATGTTGGGAAAAAAAAACATATAGTAAACCATAAGAGAAAGATCTACATATTAACAACATATTGACAGAAGTTTCCTAAACAGCACAGAATTTTGTTCACATATGCACCTAACTTTGATTAAAAGATGTTCTGCTACTAGCCTTTTTTATTCTCCTCTTTGAGATTCTCACACACACGACTCTCAATATTGCACAGAAAGCCATTGTAGCTGATGCTTTTGAAGCCTTCTTTACAGTCATTTCATCTTAGCCTTGAGCTTGCAATAAAAAAAAAAAAAAAAAAAAAAAAAAAAAAAAAGTTACTGTGACATTTCTGTCCAAATAGCTAAAATAACAGCCATGGGGACAAGAAAGTGACATATTTTGCTCCCACAGCAGAAGTCACGGGGTGGGGTGTTGGTTTTTTTTGTTGTTGTTGTTTTTGTGTTTTCCCCCTAATTGGTTTAGGAAAGAGATACAAACTCAGTTCAGCATATATTAAACCACAGGACAACTTTGCTTTCCAAGGTAAAAAAAGATATTAAATATTTACATATAAACAAGAAATCTACAGAAACATTATTTTTTAGAAGTCTTTCTGTTCCCAGGCTAATTTTTTAAGACAAAAAGGGAACTCCTCATCTGTGACAAAGACTCAGTAGCTGGCATTGTCCCACTGCAGCACAAACCGCCCACATCTTCCAGATCTTCGCACAGCTTTTAAAATATTCCCACAGATTCCAGAGTTCCACACACATCAATCTCCAGCAGTTATTTTACACAAAGAATTTTCTTTCAAGCTTTACTGTGAAGAGAATCAATTCTTGATTCAACAGTAGCCAGTCTTGCCTCCAGAGCATTTAGTATGGTGTTTGCCTGTGAAGTAAGTGGGGAATGGGGAAAGATACTTGGTTAGAAACAGATGTACAATATAAAGAACAAGTATAGATGTCATGGAAACAATGCAAGATTAAGCATTACCCTTTTTAGTGCTTCTTCCAAGGCAGCTCGACTTTCAAGAGTTAAAGGTTCCTCATCAGTAACAGCCTGCTTTTCTGAGGATCCTAGAATGTAACTGATATGCTACAGTTTAGATGATGTACTTTTCACTCTGAAGGCAAAAGAACACCCGTATGATTCATCCATCACTCTTGATAAGATTGCAATTAATGTGTATTAATTAGCACAGTCAAAGCACTATTTCAGCAACAACAACACAACCCTATTTTTGGTAATATTGCAAATGAGCTGCATGGTGGAACTTAAACAACTTTGAGCTCTAAACAACCAAGATGTCATTGCTTTATATAGTTGAAGCTCCGAAAGTCAGTCATGTTCTAGTACTACGGGATACAACGAAAATATATTCAGACATTGAGATTAGTGTAGCACTAGCTGGGAGAACTAGATATCATCACTACTCCAAGACCACACCACTTTGCAGCCCTGTTATAGCCTGCCAGAGACTTTTACTGCCATCAAAAAACAAAGTACTTAGCTGTGTAAAGAGGAAAAAACTGTTCAGAGCAGGAAAGAAAAACACCCATGTAGGTACAGCAGAACAGGCTAAAAACTGTTTGGATGTGGTGCTCAGGGACATGATTTAGTGGAGGGTTGTTAGGGTAGTATGGTTAGGTTATGGTAGGACTTGATAATCTTTAAGGTCTTTTCCAACATGAGCAATTCTATGATTCATAAAACAGCAGAAACACTAAAACTAGCCCACATGGAAGTAAAAGTAGCTAAGATACTTAAATCTGGATACTTAAAATCTTCCACAGAATCTCCAAGATTACTCTTAAGCAATTTTTTAAAGTAAACTTTTTATTTCTTAAAATGAGAAAGAACTCCGACGTGGAGACTTAACAACATCCTGAAACATTGAAGAACTGTTTAAGACCAGTTTCAAATGCAATAAACCAGAAAAAAAAACAATATAAGGCAGACCTCCATTTTCTAGAAAGCTTTTGTCCATAAAACTGAATGCGTACTCTTACTTAACTGTTTTAAGATTTATTTTTACCTGCTTCATAAGGAAGAGGAATACCAGCCCATACAGATCTCTAAATTCTGTGCAAACTCTTTTGTTCTCTGCTTATTAAGTGCACTTCTACTAGACTGAAGTCAGATACCTCTGGTATTATCTATGACTGTAGACAGACAGCAGGCTGCAGGTATGACCCATCACCACAGGCTCATTTTCTGTTGTCTAAAGCAGAAACGTGTATACTCTTCTGAGAAAATGAGAAAGAACACTTTTGTTGTTTCAGGTATGGGCCACAAAGATGATGAAGGGCCTGGAGCATTTCTCTTGTGAGAAAATGCTGAGAAACCTAGGACTATTCAGCCTGGAGAAGAGAACTCTGAGAGAGGATCCGTCTCATCAAAGCTTAAAAATATCTAAAGAGTGGAGCCAAGCAGTTGGGCACCATTGAAAAGAGCCTGGCCCTATCAGGAGGGCAAGGGGCACAAACCGGAAAACAGGATGTTCCATACAAACATGAGAAAAAGCTTCTTACTGTGAGGGTGACAGACTACTAGAATGAACTGCCCAGAGGGGCTGTGGAGTCCCCTCCAGAGATACTCAAAGCTACGTGTTATAGGAAACTTGCTCAGACTGCTAGCAGCAACATCCCTTGATACAGTGCTGGAGGGTGAGATTAACCTGGCAGCAACATAGATTCTGTCTTTACCTTTCAATCGCATCAACGTTGAAACAAAACAAATCCCTCTTGTAGTCGAGATGTTTTGGGGTGCATCTGTAGATACTGCCAAGTGTCATTGAGCAGCCAGAGCAGAAAAACGTTTCAACCATGCTTTAGAAAAAAAAGAAAACAACAATACAAGGAACAAAGAGAGAAAAACCACTCCTCCCCACCCTTATTAAATATATATATATATATACATATATTTCATCTACTGTGGTATTAAGAGCGCTCACCATCCACACTCTCCAGGCCTCTTGGACAGCTTCTGCTCCTTGTCCACCGAGACGTTGCTGGAGGCACCTGTGCAGAGGCAAAGTTGACCAAGGGCCCCCAACAGCCGCCGTCCGGGACAGGCCATGGGAGCGGCACTCACTGCGCAGGAGAATGCACTCCGTCTCCTCGTCGTTGGCCACCCAGCTCAGCGTGTCGCCCACGGGCCGCTTGCAACCGCCGCACAGGAAAACCATGGGCAGGTTCTCGTCGTTTTCCTCTTCCTCATCCTTCCCGCTCGCCCGCGGCCGCTCCACCGGCAACGCATCTCGCGGGATGGTCCCCTCTAGCAACGACAAAGACGAATCCACCCCGACCGCACCACCTGACAACGGATAAAGCAAACCCGCCATCTCCTTCAAACTGCCCGCGGCGGAAGCGGAAGCGCTTCCATACGTTACGTCCGTGGGACGGGGTTCCGCGCGTGGCCACGCCCCCGCCGTAGATACGCTCCTAGCGTAGCAGGGGGCGGGGTTCGGTTTGTGGCTCCGCACCCAGCGTAGTTACGCTCCTAGCGTAGACGTAGGCGGTGGCGGGTTTTGTTTCTGCGCTGGTTTGTCTCAATGCCCTGCCTCCGTAACGCCTACAGAGGGGTTTGAATTGCCGTAGCGCTTAGGGGGCAAAGAGGAGCTGGAGACGGATGGTTTCAAAGCTGTTTTTAACCAAACTGGTGCTTTTTGTGCTGTGCCCAAGTACCTTTACTCGTGGTTGGGATGGTGCCTTGCTGAGCCCTGTTTTTGCGCTGTGAGCCGTGGGATGCAGCCCTGGCTTCCCCAACCACCACGCACTCTGAAGGTTTTAGGGATGCAGCCAAAAGCCAGCTGAGGGCCTGCTGTCCTTGCTTAAGCACGCACACAGGTATCCACTTGCTATGCTGCTAGGGCCCAACACCTCAGACCTTCAGCTGGCTCTGCCTATATCATGGCTGGGAGCAGCTCTTCCATCCATTGCCTTTGGGGTGCAGGGAACAAGGAAGCAACAAAGCAAAATGCAGACCATGAAACCATGAAGACTGGAAAAGACCTCTAAGATTCCCCCAGTCCAACCACCAGCCCACCCCCCCCCACCTCCACTGCCCACGTCCCTCAGTGCCACATCCACACAGCTCCTGAACACCTCCAGGGACGGTGACTGCACCACCTCCCTGGGCAGCCTGCTCACCACTCTTTCACAGAAGAAATTCCTTCTAATACCCAACCTGAAATCTCCCATGGCACAATTTGAGGCCGTTTCCTCTCATCACTGTTACCTGAGAGAAGAGGCCGTCTCCCACCTCGCCACAGCCTCTTTTCAGGCAGTTGTAGAGAGCAATGAGATCTCCCCTGACCTTCAGACTGAACAACCTCAGCTCCCTCAGCCACTCCCTGTTATGATTTATCCTCCAGACTTTTCATCAGCTTTGTTGCATCCTCTGTCTATGATGCATTTTGTCAGGTACTTGCCCCCTTCTTTATGTCAGTAGGAAGAGATTTCCTTCAGCCTGTTTTTTTCCAATAGCTCCAGAGAACACTTCATTGCAGCTGGACTCTCAGAGAGAAGGGTTTGTGACACATCTGGCATCTGTCCATCCCTTTCTTAGCTTACTTGGCATCCATCTCAGTTCTGATATGCTGTGGAATAATGTAACTGCCCACCAGGAAGCAAGGGTTTAAAGGCTGCTACTACTTATCTGTTAGACATTAATATTCATTTTTGCTCAACCCTTTTTAGTACCAAGGCAGTCCTTGAGCTACAGGACTCCGGAGTGATTTACATAGGCATCAGTTACACAGTCTCTTTCTGAGGGCGCTCAAGCACAATGAAAAAAAGTATTTGGTTGAAGCTGATTTAAAATGCACTACTGACATGGCCAACAGAACAAACTCATCTGAGTACTTCTGGTCTTATGAATATTACTGGGATTACATAGATCCAATTCCAGTAGATGGAAGGAAGTTGAAAGTTAATAAATGTAAGTATGGTAGTGTAGTAGGTGTTTATCTAATACAGGAAAAATGAGCGGGCAAAATGTTGCATAGATTGTCTTACTGACTTATCTTTCTTTCTTCGTGACGGAGACCATAATGGGTTAAGCGTGCAGGGTTTGTATGGATGGGTGTCTGTGTGCCAAACTGTCTTTCCTTGACTATGTTCTAATAGCAGTTATTGCTAATAATGAAACTCTTTGATTTATCTTAAAATATTTGAAGCTGTAAAACTGCTGATACTAACTTTTACTTAGAGCGACAGGCTTTTTGCCATTGCTGAGTGTAAACCTAATAACATGCATATCTGTAGGCTTGTTGTCTTGTAGGAGTGTTAGCTACTTGCCTGCTACTCTCAGAAAAGTTGTGTGAATGAGCAAAGTTCTGTTGTAAGTCTATCATGTTTTTAGTTTGGGACATATAGCTTATGTTACAACTGATAAATATTTAAAACCATGGTAAAGGAAGAGGTTTTATTCTGCTAGCCAAGTACAATAAGCTAAAAATACATTCTGTGATTTTTCCTCTTGTGGTTTATTGCTACTGAATTGTAAGATGAAGTAGTAATATCCATTATCAGCACAATACTTTATTGCCATGGAAGCCGAGTCTGCTGAGTTTAGAAATTATTTGCAAAGTCTGTAATGTGAAACAGCATTATCCAAATTCAGCCATGGGCGGTTAATTCCCTTTCACACTTGGTTTTGCACAATGACACAGAGATGTACTTCTATGGTTACTTAAGTTGTTAAGACTTTTTTTTTTCCTGATGCAACTGCACTAGTTTGGTTTTACTACAGTAAAATCACAGTTATGTTATGAGGGATTAACTTAGCCTGATACAGCTGGAAGGATGGATGAAGATCAAGGGAGAAGAGACAGGCATGTTTGAACTGTCTCAGCTATGGGCAGCCATGGCTTTATTAGTCTCTGGTTTACTGAAGACAACTGCAGCTATGAAGGTATGTTTTCAGGAACTAAAATAGCTTTCTCCAACATAATTACAGTGATCTGGTCTGTAGGAAAAATATGATATACTCTCAAAATATTTTCAAGACAGTGCCTTCCTAATATGTTAGGGTTGGAGAGTGTGCGCAAGGAGCATTCAGACCACCCTCCTCAGACACCTAATTCAGGTCACTGTGCAAGGAGCTTCGTGTTCTTGTGAGAGCAAGAATAAGACAAGAGAGCAGAGGTTTTTTTTCTGCACAGCCTCTAGAAGAGCTTTTCTGCCAACTTAATGAGCGTAGGTTTACTGCCTCCAACTTTGGGTAACCAAGAGCAACACACCTAAAAGAAGATGTTGTAAATATCATATATAGCCTTCCATATATAAAATCCCACTCCAAAATACTGCAGAGCAATATTTTGTGCTGCTGGGAACAGGCAGGCTGTGAGCAGCTTTACACCACTTATTAAATCTCTTAATTTGAAAGTTAAAGCAAATAATCTCCAGCAAATTCTACCAGGGAACCCCTTACATGTTTCTGTGAGAAAATGTTGAAATTCCCCTCTGAAATTCACTAGTAGTTTCATGGGGAGCATTGCCACATACCTTGTTTGAGTGCTCATGAGTGATCTCAAGCCTTATTTCAGTTTAAAACAAACAAAACAACACACAACAGAGTCAACCAATCTCTTAGTGATTTTTTTTTTCTCCTTATTTCTTCTCTTACCCTAAAGAAACAGAGAAGTCTAACACCTTTCAGGTCTCTTTATATTCTAAGGAGGTGACTTAAGTGATCATACTTTTTGTATATGCATCAGATCTTCTGTGCCTTTGGTAACTTCAACTCACTGATCAAATAATAAAGGAGTGGAGGCTTCAACGATATAAAATACCCACAAATTCCTGTAGCAAATTCCTGTTAAATAATGGAGGAATGATATGATGAGTGAAGAAATTTACTGACAAAAAAAAGCTTTAGGAAGAGATCCTGCCTTGTTAGGCACCAAGAAAACTCCCTTAGCCTCAGCTTTGGGAAACAAACCTGCAGGAAACCAGTCTTCTGTATGTCAGCTGCCCATCTTCCAGGCAAAGAGGAAAAAGAAAGATGCAAGAGCACGGTGTGAGATTTACTATTTTCCCTATCTGCAGGGCAGTGTTAAGGCAGTGTGTGTTCCCTGGGGCAGCTGTTTATGTAACAGATCTCTAGGCAGTGTGCCAAAATGGGATTCTGCTCCATGATTTGTGTCTTTAAAAAGCCCATATTGGCTGTATCAATTTCCAAATTACAAATGTTGGGTTTGGTTTCCTGATGGGCAGGAAAGTTAAATTGTCCAGTCATTGGGGGTTTTTTGGGTTTCCTATAAAAATAGATGTTTTTCCATGTAAGCAGCCTAGAAGGAATGGACGCTGCGTCATACTAGAACTTTTATTCTTCCTTCTCCAAATGCCAGTGGGAAAACAAGCTATAAAGAAAATAGCAAGGGAAATAATTCCACAGCTGCTTAGTTTTTTCCTTGCTTTGAATAAAAGGACTGGTAAGGCAATGAATATACTTTATAGGCTTTCCTGTCTTTACACAATATTTACATTCTTTTACCTTCAAAAGCAACTGCTGGGATTATTGTCTTCATGTGCTTGGAACTATGTAAACAAATCAGATTCAGCAAGTTCTTGCCCTTTGTGCAGAAGATGAAATGTGATAATTTCCCCTTAGACAGGGGCTTGTAGAGCTGTAAATATTCCAAAATTGGCAAAATACATGATATCTCTAGAATTAAAATAAGCGCTATATTCAGAGGTTCCAGGGGACTTCTGCTGATTGACTGCAATGGGACTTGAGCATTTGTTCAGGTGCCTTGCTGAATCAGCCCTAATGAACTATACATTCGTCATAACCCCTGGGATGGGATTATAGCTCCCTAATTCAGTCTTGCCTTATTTTTTTATTTAATGTAAAACAGACCTGAATCTCTGCACTTTCTTCTCTGTCATGTGGCCTGTTCCCGAAGCATGGTGAGAACTTGCTTGTCTCATGAAAATGGATCTAAATCCAGCTATGACGTCATGTTCTTGCTTTCTATTAACAGCATCATGCACGTCTACCCACTTTGTATGAAAATAATACAGGGCTTAATTGGCCCACAAACGAACATGCTGTTCAAAAACATACACACATGCGTATAGAAGGTGACTATAAAAGTTAGCAATAAAAGAGATTTCTATGGGTTGTTAAAATATGTTGTCCCAGTTCAGGAAGAATCCTAATTGCAAGACCGTAAAAACAGTCAGGAAGTTTCTGTTTATCCCTCGTGAGTTCCCGTGAGATCTGGAACAAATTTGATAAGCTTCAGTGAATTCCATGAATTGTATTAGCGGCTCTTAAAGATGAAACTAAAATAGCTTTGATATGGAGTTTTATAAATCCGTGCTCTTCATTTCTCTCCACGTGGCTTTGAGCACTTAAACATCAAGTTTTTCACCATATCTCCAGTTCTCCCCTGAGAAGTTGAGACTGGCAGTAGCACCCAGTCATTGTCTTGTATAATAACTTTTGTGAGGGTAGGCCAGAATACTGGCTCATCCATTGTCATTCATTTTCATTCATTTCATCACTGCCTTTGTGATGTTTCTTTTCCTTATTTTGCTCTACATGTCCCGCTCTGGATCAAATCCAGTTAAGTAAGTAGAATGAGAGGTAAAAGAGCTAAGTGTGATAAAATAATCTGCATGAAACATTTATTCACTGCTTCAGATGATCCAGAAGTTACATTCAGCATTTGCAATTGCACACTGAGATGATGCTGCTTACTTATGTGGTTTGAGTGTCCCTCAACCAAATGCTGTTCACTGTTTCTATTAATCACCTGGGCTAAAATATTAATTAATCCCTTGAGTTAAAGCTCAGTAAAAGGTTTTGGGTTTTTTAATTTATTTATTTATTTATTTATTTATTTATTTTTACCAGAGGAAGAATAAAATAAACTGATGCCCCAGTAGTCATTTTGTACATTCTCATTTCTCAGTAGCCCAGCCAAAGCTCAGCTCTCTGGTAAGACTCCTGCTGGGTCAGCTCTAGCTGAAAGCATAAAGGACCTGGAGTAATTCCCCGTAATCTCTTTGTGGCTCTGATGACAACACGTTCTGAACTTTTTCACAAAGAAACACCTCATCAAATATATTGGGCCTGTTTCAAAGAACATGAATGTTTTTTGTCCTTTGAGATAGAAGATTTATTTTATCCTGGTCAATATTTGTCTCTGGAGTCAATGACCCTTCTTTTTCACCTTAGTCTAAGTGAGAAACCAGTGATGAGTTCAGAGCATTTCTCGACTTGTGCCCTGCCCAACACCCAACATTTTCAAGGCTTTAGCTGGAAGTTCACCACTGCACTGATCCCAGGAAGGAACATTTAGGACACAGTGACCAAATGTGCTGCTGGGGCAGAAGTGGATTCATCCCATCTAACAGCAAGCTCAGAAATGAGGCACTCATTTCAGCAGCACTGTAACCTTACATCATAGAAAACGAGCTCCCTTTTTCCTCCAAACAATTCCCAAGCTCTGTTTCTGCTCTTGAAGCCCTGTGGTCACTCAGATCAGGAATGAGATCATCTTTCTTTTTTTTCTTTTTTTTCTTTTTTTTTCCCCTTTCATTAATTAAGATTTTTAACAAATTTGCATGCAGATTCCCCTCTTTCAAGGGTTTAGTTAAATTCAGTTAATTCAATGGCATACCTTTCTTACCAATCATAAACTGTGTTGTTGTTTTGTTTGTGTTTGCCATGTCGCCAGTGACAGAATTATTGTGTTGTGTTCACAGATTCTATTGTCATAGCCTTTTGGGTTGGACTTGCTGCCTTTGTGATGTTTCTTTTCCTTATTTTGCTCTACATGTCCCGCTCTGGATCAAATCCAGTTAAGTAAGTAGAATGAGAGGTAAAAGAGCTAAGTGTGATAAAATAATCTGCATGAAACATTTATTCACTGCTTCAGATGATCCAGAAGTTACATTCAGCATTTGCAATTGCACACTGAGATGATGCTGCTTACTTATGTGGTTTGAGTGTCCCTCAACCAACTGCTGTTCACTGTTTCTATTAATCACCTGGGCTAAAATATTAATTAATAACTATTGTGATTTGCTAATGCCAAAAACATTGGGGAATAATGAAGCACAAGGGTAGGCAGAGCAGTCTGTTCTGCACATTGTGTTTGCAAAAAAAACATGTATTTTTCTTATGTCAGCTATCAAGGTTGTATCTTATTAAAGTAAGAGTGTCTGTACATGCAGAGTGGGTGAGTACCTCATGTAAAACACAACTAAGGAGGAATCAGAAATCATGGTGACAAAGTAGGTGAACATGAGCCCCCCAAAGCAGTTCTGCAAGGCTCGATCAAGTTAAAAGAAACTTACTAGTGAGATCACAAAGGTAATAGTACGTGTGGCATTGCTTAGACCATTCAAAAAATGTTGTACTTGTGTTAGTATGTAGACTCTTTAAAATGAGGTTTAAAGAAATAGAGAAAGAAATTGTACAGTGCATCATACAGCAAGAGCAATAAACTGAAATCAGTTCGTTTCTCAAGGAGCAGAGGCTCAAAGGTGCTTATTCTGAACTATCTGCATCCTTAGAACCCTAGTGTCCAGTTGGAGAGCCACATCATAACAATCAGATGCCAAAGTATTTTACTAAAATGTAATGACTGGAAGCTTATGCTACTCAAACTAAGATGTACTACATAATTTATGAAGGATAGCCATTCACTGAAATAATTTCTGTTAAATGGGTCATGATTAATTCTTTTTTTACTCAGTGACTTAACACCTTAGTAACATGCAGTTGTATTCATCCCAAAATTACTGTGCTACTATGGTCTAGCACTCTATGGTCTGTTATGGAGAAGCTTCTTTCTCACCTAAAATATGTGAGTGGCTTATTCTCTAAATATTTTTAAGCTCTTACTGTTTAAACTTACTCTGTGAGGCTACTGATGTGTATAACTGCCTGAAGATCTGCTCCTGTTTTCTGTTCTTTTCTTGTTTGGCGAATCCTGGCAATAGTCTGACAGTGCCTTTTTTTCTCAAAGGTGGCCCATATCTGAACTGCTGTCCTTTAGCATAATAAGCTCTTGGTAAAACGATAATATGCTTAGTCAGAGGCAGTACTAATCAGTTGGAGGTGTAGTTGTAGAATCAAAGAATTGTTAAGGTTGATAAAGACCATTAAGATCATTTAGTCCAGCCATCAACCCATGACCGCCATGCCCACTAAGTGACTTCAAACACCTGCCAACCACAACCCTGTAGCATTCACCGCACCACTCAGCTTAAGAACAATACAACATAGTAAAACTGGGTTTTCCGCTGGGCCAGAGTCTCCTGGAATTAACCTCATGTCGTTTTCCTAGTAATTAATGCTTTCAGATGTGATTCTGTTACTCATGTCTTTCTAAATATAAATTTCAGTAGAGAACTATTCACCATTAGGAAGACAGTTGGGTCTCAGCTAGAGAGTAGGTCACTAAAGCATAACAGCATTTTCAGGTTCAAAAAGTGTTCTGTACATATGGCACTACAGAAGGACATCTAGATCTACAGAAAGAGATTCTAGAGCAGCATGACACTAACCAGGTTGTTTTTACAGCTGGGCTTGACAAAACAGGACAGTATCTTTCAGTGGCAGACAGGTGGGTTAACTAATCTGTTTTAGAATATTTCCACCTGAAACTCTTGTTCCTGAAAAGAGAGGCTGAATAAATACCTAATTGTAACAGATACATCTGCAGTCCTCTAACAATTATTGACCCTGCCCAGTGAAGAGCAGAGCAGGTGCTGTACAGGTACCTGTAGTGGATGTGCCTGAAGAAGATGCAGTGCCTGCTGATGTGCAGCACTCACATGTTGGTTGAATGGGAGCACAGTTCTAACGCTACTTGTCATTTTGAACTTTGTCTAAGGACAGGTTTCTGTTTGCAGCTTTCTACACTTGGCTTGCTTTGTTTGCTACTAGGTTCTTGTTTTTTTTTTTTTTTTTTTTCCTGGCAAACATGTTTTATGTAAACAAGGATGCGTTTGCCCACTGTTCCACCTAATCTGATCAGGACAGAGAAAATTCAGCTCAGCACATTAGGGAGAGGTTCAAGATTAGGTCACAAACAAGCAGAGGGAATATCGTGGCATAAAAAAGGAGCTCTAATAGCCTAATTTATTTGCACCCTGAGGCCCCTGGCATGCCCACAAAAAGTAACAATGACAATAAAAAAGGCAACTTGCCCAAAGAAACCACAAAGCAAGAGGCAAGCTAATAATACAAGAAATATATGGAAATGAACAGAACATTATAGGGTAACATTAATTTACTGTTCCTGGAAAAAAAAACTGGCAGAAGTCTATATACATGAATAGCTCAGTGTATTTGGAAAATTAAAACAAGTGTTAGTTGTTTGTTTTTTAATCACTTTATATTATGTTATTTAATGAAACACTTGCCTTAAAAATATCCATATTCATCCTCAATATGTTCAATTTTGCTGTTAAAAGACCTGCTGTGAGCAAGGCAATTTGGCAGTGTTTTGTGGGAAACCCGAGAGTCATTAATGGAAAGCAGTATTGGATGAGATGTTCTTAAGTTTTAAATCATCCTGTGTCTCATCATTTTTCTAGGCTTGAAACATACTGAGAAAATATTTTTAGGACTGAACAGAGTAGTCAGCCCCTTTCTCCTCCCCCCCCCCCTCACAAACTTGCTCTTTTGGATTGAGTTCCACTTGTTTTCTAACTGCCTGCTCCAATTACGTTTAACTCCAGCAATAGAACACAGTGAATTGCTGTTCTTCTTATTAGCTTACACCATCTTCTCCTTTCTTCTCCTTTTCATATAATCTCTCCGTTTTCCTTTGCATGAAGATCAACTCGTATCTATATGAATTCTCCTTTCTCTTTTTCCATGATCACTGTGATGCATTCACCTAACAAATGTACATGCGCGTCACTGGTCAAGGCTGGAGAACTTTTACCTTCACTGTTTCTGTGCTCATCTCTCTCTCTGTCAAACCCAGGGGCATATAGGACAGTATGTTCTGTTTCCGCTTGCTCAATTGCTTGGTGAAACACTGTGCTTTCAAGTCTGACTGTTCGTAAGAGCATATCTCCTTGCTTTCACTCGTCTTCACCTGACTGTCAGGCATACCTCTGCTGCTGTAATTCAGCTGCCTTTATGGTCAGCTGGATCTCTGTGGGGTCCCTGAAGATTACATTTTGGCCTTGTATAATACGGATGATATCTCTTGTACAACAGTGATTGCGTCTATTTCACCACTGTGTACACTGATGTCTGTTATGTTGGCAAGGCTATGACATCTGCCACGGTCTGCTGATTTTCAGCTGCATATCCATACAGAAGAGAAGTCAAAGTGTCTTCCGAAAGACACTTATGGAATAACTAGATTTACTTATTCCACTGCATAATCTTCAGATGCTCAGAGGCCCTGGACTCAAAGCTGTGATCTAATGGCATCACACTCACTCTGCAATACTAAGTATTTGGTGCCAAATCAGATGAGAGAATTCAGGAGGGGGGGAGGGTTAATGCATGCAAGAGAGCTTCAGCAAGGAATCCATGTCCCAGTCTCTTTTGTAACCATTATGCTGGCCCTACAGAAGGAAAGAAAAAATGGTTTGAGGCATGGCACCAATTAATTCAAACCCATTAGCATGCCAAGGCATTTACCACAGTGTTGTAATCAAGAGCCAGTATTAACATCTGCATCAACAATCTTTCTTACCATCCAAAATGATAGAGAAAACAAGGTTTGGTGGCTGGAGACAGTTCCCATTGGAGGCTGGCACTTCATGCAGTGGAATGGAGGCAGGGAATCAGCCTTCCCAAGCCTCGCAGGGAGAGATCCCATTTTCCCATGCATTTCACTGGAGGTCGTGCATTCCTGACAGCTTGATAGACTGCTGTGAACATCTAAAATCTTCAGACTTTGCTTATCTGACAGTATAATGTAGGGAGGGGGAAAAAAAGCAAAGAAAAAAAAGAAAAAGGAAGGTCCACACAGTCTCAAACAAGTGACTCTGGACTCCTTGGCAGCATGAGCCTTTTTTGATGTCTGACAATTTTTTTTTGCAATAAGGAACACTATTCAGTGTTCAGACATTTTTCCCAACTACACCCAACTTTTGCCCAATATTTTTGGGACACATGGTAACAAAGTTTCAGAATCCCTCTTGCCAGACAGCCATGTGTGACTTGGCTTAGAAACCTTTGTTCTGCAGCCAGCTTTCACCTCAGTTTGCAGGTGAGGGTTTCCTGTACGGACAGGCAGATAACTGCTGATTTGGTGGACAGTCAGTACAACGTCCATGTGCTCTTTCAGTTTTCTGCTCCATCCAGATAATTGCAACAGCTGCTTCATTCCTGGAACTTGGGAACTAATTTGGATATTTGACAAGTCCAGGATCGATAGCAATATCCTAGATCTCACATGAGGGTAGACAACTGAGGTCTTTCTTTTTTTTAAAATATTCCAGATTGTAATATTCACTAGTGAACAACAAATCAACCATATATATATATCCTACAATAACAAAAAGTGCCTATTCCTGCACACAAAGGTAGCAGATTTGACAGTCTAAGCACTAGTTCATATTCTTCCCGATGACCGTAAGAAGTGTCGTAGTCTACTTTGCCATGCCTTGTCTTTGGGAAGAGGAGCTTACTGCACTATACTACTTACTGTAGTAAGAAGATCACTGTGAGAGGTACTTTCCTGACTAAGCAGGCCATGCTTTCAGGTAGCTGTTCCTGTTCCCTGTTTTTCTCAGGCCTCTGGTTTCAAGTCTTTCAGGCTTTCATCATTGAGAGAACCTCCTACATTGACAGAACCTATGTTGGCAGCTCCTCACTGGTTGTTAAAATGGTTAGCTATGAACTGTCAGAACTTGTAACAAGTCTTCCATCATCAGAGCTCAAATCACATGGTCTTCACAGAAAGCTGTTCTCACTCCTGTCATCTAAAGGTTGACGGCTGGGAACCTAATCCATACCTTTTGGCAGGCTTCACGTCATTGGAGTCCCATGACTGGGTCTGTGGTGACACTTGGTACAGTGGTACTCATAATGCTCAGAGAAAACTTATCTCTGAGTGAAAACTAAGTCAGGTTTTTTTGTTTAGCACCATCCACTCCCTGCATGCACATGTGACCACACAGACAAGAAGAGAAATCGCCTACCAGTAATCAGTGCCCTTCCAGAAATCTCATGCACTGAAAAACTGTAGGGGAAACTGAAATACCGTTTGCTGAATGTGAGGTTAGAATGTGTCCCCCTCTAGTGGCTGCTGCTCAGACTTTATTGGGTGGGCTGTGCAGTAGAGTGCGCTTTTGAGTTGTTGGGAAGTAGGCTGCATTGGCATTAAGATGCTCGCCAGTGCTTTCTGGAGGCCCTTCTAGTACTTGCCCTTTCTCTTAGAAACTAAAATCATGGGGATTTTTATTTTCAAAATATTAAACTGTTTTTAATGACAATAACTCTTCCTACCTGATTGGGCAGACATTTAAAAGTGTCAAGTCAGAAGAGTGAAATAACTTTTGACCAATGCATTCGAGTAGACCTACTGTATCATCCAAGCCCACACTGTCTCTTCCGAGAGTGCCAAATGTCCAGACCAGTCCTTTGCTCCCAAGGGACATAAACCACAACTGATGGGTGGGAGGAGATCTGAGAGCACTGCCTACTGAAAGCAGGGAGGCAGGCTCCTCTGAATTGTATTCTCCTGAAGAAATGAAATCAGATGTTTCACTGTGCCCATCTTTCTACAAAACCATACTGTCTGGAATTATTTTTTGTTGGTGTGCCTTGAAATACTTGCTCAGTTTTATCTTATCTTTGTTTTAATTCCATGACTTTGCCTGGGGCTGAGGTCAGTCACACTGGCTTCTAGTGACCTGGCTTTACCAGTTCACTCACTTGGAGTACTGGGACATTAGAGCCTTTCCAGTCTCGTCATGTTTCCCCACTGTTCCAAGGATGGTTAAAGATTAACAAAAGCCATCCAGAGTTCTCCTCAGACAGACTGCAGGTCTCTGGGATGCAAGTTCTCCAACTGGTGTAAAAATTTGGATAGCTAGCTGATGATACTGAGCTACTTAATGGACTGGAAAGGAAGCATCCTGTTTTGGTAAGAATATTTTTGTCTTGTTTCTGTCAAATGGAGAAGAAAAATCTCTTGAATATGCCTGCATAATAGCAAGGAAAACCCCAAGTCTGCTTGCCTCCATCCTGTAGTGGGCCTGTTGCTGTGACTTGGGGATTTTGTTTTATTTATTTTTCCATTACCGTTAAGCAGAATTACTGCTGTGTTAGTTTTGTCAGGCACAGATGTTTTTCATTAATTAATTATAAATTTGATGTTAACAAGTTGGTATTTCCCTTCCTCCAAATTATTCCAAATAATTGTTTCCCTTTTCATCCCATTAATTTTATCTTGCATTGTAAGTTTTGTTACGTTCATCTGACCGCTGATACAAATGTGGCTTTTAGTCAAAGACCCCCCTTTTTTTTTTGCCTGTGAATCTGTGACACCAGTGCATTAATAAGACTTTTCAAAAAGTTTCCTTTTTCTTTCACACTTTTGGGGCACGTTTTTCTTGCCAATATAATTTTCCTTTCCCACCCTTAAAGCCCTAAGGATAGAGTGATAGTTGGGACTATCATCTTGTGTTATGCCATACTCAGTGGAATTTGCTGCTTTTAGGCCTGGGCTTATCTGTCATTTCTTTTTTAAGGGTGAGTTTTGGGAAGCTGCTGGGAGGAGGGAATAGAGAAGAAGAGGCAGGGTGAACTCAGCTGTCGTCCTATCATCACCCCATCCACCTCTCAACTATTTTTTTCCAGCAGAATCATAGGTCTTTGTTATGTACACTGAACATTTCCTGCTGTCCTTGTCCAACATGCTGTTTCATGCTCAGATCCCCACCCTTTCCTCAGACTGTCATTCCCAATGCCAGTGCCAGGGGATCTCTCCCAGATACCATGCATCCCTCTTGCTCTTGTCCCCATCGTCAGTGACTGTCTCTCTTGTATACTTGCTCACATTCACACATCAGCCCTGTCCCCTTTCTTTCCCAGGAGCGCTGATGGCAGATCCCTTTGCCCTTGCTGCAGAACGAGTCATAGCAGTGTTTCTAGTTTTCTTTATAAAAATGCAGGTGGAGAATCATGCCTTGGATTGGACTGAAGGACAACCATGATTGGGTTGGACAGAAGGTCTTATTTTGAGTAAGAGTGTTCACCAGGTGTGGCCCACAGCTCACCATTTTGCTGTTGGTAGTCACCAGCTAAGGACATAATTCTCACAGTGGATGAAGAAAACTGAAATCCAGAAGCATCTGTCATGCTGGACTCAATGTATTTGTGTTGGAAGAACCACCTTCTACATTTTTTAAAACTTTCTAAACGTGCTTGTTTATGAAACTGCTGCTATCTGTCTTCCAAACAGTAGTCCCTGATAACAATGCATTTTTCCTTTCCACACATTACAGACAGGTGGTCGTAAGGAACCGGGTAGAAGAAAGCAGTTCCAACAGCGAGCAGCCTCACTGTGACAGTCTCAGCAGTCCATTCCCAGATTTGGTTGCTCCTGGAACACCCAGCTGCCTTCCAGATGACAGTAGCATTCATGGAAGTATGTCAGCCTGAGTTAACACCGGTGAAACAGTGTCAGCAGGACAGTCCACCTGGCAGTGGAAACAATTAGTACACTAGACTGCAGCTGAATTAGTTCAGGAAAAGAACAACGAAGACCAAACCTGACAAATTCTGGATGCCTAAAATGAAGAACTGCCTGCAAAATCTCTCTCTCTCAGTAAAGATTCAAACTCTTCCCTCAGTTATGTCATCCAAAATGTTTGCTGCCTGTTGAATAATTCTCATTAACAGGCACTTGGCTGAGAGCAGATCTATTCCTCCAGCAGAAAGAATATACCAGTTACTCTTTGTGTTCTCTGAAGCACACTGAGTCCTCTTATTCTTAAGGATATTTCTGCAGAAGCAATTTTCCCTGAGTTTTCTTGCTGTGAAAGAAAGCTGTATCACATATATTGGGCAGCATAAGCAATACTGTTTAGACATATTGTTTAGAAAATATTGTGAGAGCCTCAGTGACATATTTATTTCTAGCTTTGTCCTCAGATCACAATCTCATCAGCAGCATCTTAGTGACATCTCCATTTGGTTGTCTTCTCAAAAGTAAGCAACAATGGCAAGCATAACATCAGCAATAAAACTTTGCTTTTGGGAGGGTTACAACTTGCTTCACTGATTTAAAGCTCAGCAATTCCCTCAGGGATAGAATACTATTTTTTTGCAAAAGAAAAGTAAGTATTTGGTTTACTTAAAAATCACTGCTTAGCTAGAACAGCCTTTAAAAAAGCTACTGGCAGCACTAAATATTTCAATTGAGGGTGCCTTACTGAATAAACTCATTAACTTTACCCACTGCCCAGAAATAGTTTTGCCACAAATAGCCAATCACCTTTAGCTTTCATTTTGAAATGGTAAGTGGAGAAGAAACACAAAGACTGGACAGATTTGAAAAGGTATCTGTGAGTTACTCAGGCTTTAGAAGAAGTGTGCTTATCGTGTTTTATACCAAAGAAAAATGCTGGCAAAACTACAAAAGCAACAATTATTTCTGCACAAATTGTTTGTTTTTAGCTGGGGCTGAAAAATATTCCATCAGAATCTAGAGTCCTCTCTGAGGGCCACAAAAGCTTTTCCATGAGGTGGAGAGGACAAGTTTAGTTCTGCTTGAGCAGAGCAGGAAGGGCCACTTGCATTCCCAACCCTTCAGCTCTCTCCACCTTTCCTTGGCCCTGGAGTGCCATGAAAGCCAGGCAGAACCAGACAGAGGTCCAAGAGAGGGTGAAAAACCCTTAGAGCTACAGTAAACTGTGTGACCAGGATTGCAGAGTCAGTAAGGCAGTGATAGTTGGAGTAGAAAAAGGACTGTGTAACTAATTGCTTGTCTGAGGACAACGCAGAATTCATTTGAAACTTGAGGAAAAAAATAGCAGTTCCACCTCACCAAGCAGGCAGCAGAGACTCCTACAGTGAACCAGTAGCAGAGCAGCTCTATGCTGCATACGGGGGATGTGGATATGTTGGGTTGTGTTAACAAAGCCTTAAACCCAAGAGACAGACCAAACCACGAAGTATGTATTTGTAGTTGTATTGTTTTTTAAAACTCCCTTTTCATAAATCTCTGAGATAAACTCTTCTGAAGTTTGCTTTTTGAGCAAATTGACTACCGCTGGTACTGGGCTTGGAGTCCTATGGAGCTTCAAGTCTGCTGAGTCATGGATACACAGAGAAAATGAGGAAACGCCGCAGGAACCAAAGAAAGAACGTGGACAGAGATGTTATCAGAGAGCTGAAGTCTTCCTTCAGCCAACCCAGATGATCACAGCAGCCTTCCCCACCTCTCAGATAAATTCACCACTTGCTAGAGCTGAAGTAGTTCCCTCAGAAGACATAAATGAATGTTTGTGGCAAAGGCCAGACTGGCTTTCATCGACAACAAAGCTCCTGCTGCCTTAAAAGGGGTGAGAATTTCACCTGTGTAGCCTACAGCATCCATGCCCTGTTGAAACGTTGTACCCATCAGCCAACAAAGTGCAACCCAAAGTAGCTCATGCAGTTGGTTCAAAGACATAATCGACTCCCATAAAAACATTATTCCTCAAACGTGACATCACTCCACCTCACTCACACTGCTTGAAGTCTTTTCCTTCCAACATGGCAGACGTGTTGTATACCAGCAGCCCATCGTGGGGCTGAGATCCACTTCACGACTCAAGAAGCCCACCTGCACTCAAACCTGCTGGTGCCTACCATACACCCCGTACTTCAGGAAGCAATATATTCTTTGGGGGCTGTTGACCTTGATGACTTCCTGTGCATTTTGGGAGAAGGGCCCAAAAGATGTGTCCTTGCAACACACCCTTAAGTTTCATGCACTCGTGGTTCTCATCACAAGGACAACAGCAAAACAAATGACTCATGTCATTTGTAGAAACTCCTTGTTTTAAAATATAGGCTCATCTAGGGGACAAGTTTTCCACTTCTGAATCCTTTCCATAATTTATTCCATTCAAGATTAACTTCTGAAGATAATGACTCACCATCTGATTTATTGACATTCATTCTGAATACACTGGCAGCAATTCACACACACAAATCACTCAACAGCTAGCCAACTGCGTGAGGCTTTTTAAAAAAGATATTTGACCGCTATTTCCAGAAAAACTTCATAATAATCTCTTAATTGCTCCATTATTAGACTATATTGAAGCTCACAGAAGCAGTGAGAGACAGAGCCATTTTTAGAAGTTCCCACATGCAGAGCTGCATCTGTTTACTGAGAATCACAGTATGGTAGGGGTTGGAAGGGGCCTCTGGAGACCATCAAGTCCAATGCCTTGCTAAAGCAAGTTCCCTACAGTAGATTGCACAGGAATGTGTCCTGGCAGATCTTAAATATCCTCAGAGAAGTCATGACCTCTCTATTTTTTACATGACAGGTCAGTAGCTTTAACTTGTTAGGTTGTTCGCATTACTTTTGTTTCCGAAACAACATTTATACATGAAAACGTGTATGAGCAATCCTCTCCTCCAATCTTGAATATTTTGGTATTAACAGTATTGGAGAAAACAACAAAACAGTAAGACATTAATCACAACTGAGCCATTCTGAATGCTTAAGGCCATCAGAAAACTGTTACTTCAGGATGCACCCTTAGATGCATTCACATCAGGTAGTTAGCCTGCATTATACGTTGCAAAGAAAGCATATCAGCATATTTGCAGCTGCAGTCTCCTCGTGTTACTTTCCTTTTCTGTAGTACCTTGCAGCTCATCAGCAAAAGCCAGCTAGAACCATGACAGCCATTTTTCTTATTTTAGCAGTGACAAAACTGCATAGAGAAATCACTACTTCCATTCACAGAGGGAAATATCCAGGTGTGCCAATAACTGTTGAAGCAGAAATAATTGAGCACACCTGCTTGCATCTGATGCACTTACTTCCAGAAACAGGTCTTAATTAATCAATTACTCATTCCACGTGGATGAGCTTCAATAAATGAGTTTTCCTGCAAGTACCACAGTTGCACCATTCTCTTAAGCAAACACAGCATGTAAGGTATTAGGAAGTGCTGAAGCACACAGCCAAAAACTTGTTGAGAGACAGTGTAACAAAGGGGTTGAGGCATTTAGGCTTTGGGTTTTGTTCCCTTAGAAAGGGCCTGGAAGGGTCTATGGTACACCACCACTGTCCTGCAGTGCGTCAGCTATTGCAGAGGATTGGCCTTAGGCTACAGGCAACTGCCCACCCAGCTGCTTTCTCACTGCCCCACGGGTCAAAATTAAGACAGGGAGATGCTTAGCAGTCACCATCTGGGCAAAACAGACTTGGCTTAGGGAAAATTAATTTACTGCCACTTAAGATAGATGTGGGCAGTGGTTGAATTGCTCTAGTTCCATGAGAAAAATTTTTACATTACATCCTTCTACAGGTTGAATGGTTTTAATCTCATTTCTTTAGTTCTCTCAAACAAATCACATTATAAGCCACTTCTTGATGTGATCAGCCCCTGAGGACAGCTGAAAACCTTCTATGTGCCACAAGTATCTTCTTTTCCAGTCAGACAAGATGGCTTCTTTCCATCTCCAACCCTCATTTTCAGATCCTGCCTTGTGCACTTCCTCTGGTTTCATTTTGTCTGTTTTGTGTTTCTAAATACTTTTTTCTTTGCAAAGAACATTTTTTTTTTTTTTTTTTTTAATGTTGCACACCAGTGATTCTATATTAATATATCATGCCACACTTCAGCCTCTATTGGGCTTGTACAGCTTTTTCAAGAGAGTATTTTTTATTTTTAAACCAGGTCTTGATAGAGATAGTACAGCTTCTTTAGGACAAGGATATCAGCATACAGAAGCAATTCTCATTTGCATCTCATAGTCCTTTATTCTTAAAAAAGGCACATTATATAAAGATCACAAGGAGTGTGCACTTTGAATTTTTCCCCAGTACAGACCGTGCACGGAGTACCTGGGCACAGCACATATTCATGAGTGAATTTAATAAATCCTGTTTTACATTTCAAAGGTTCAAGTTCAGGCTCTGCCTGTTTGCATGTCTGGAATGATATGTTAAACTGCCCTCGGGGCCATGTTCAAGAAACATTTATCACACTTCACAGAGAATTTCCAATAAAACACATGTTTTATCAATCACCAGAAGGTCATTTGGGTCTTAGCTCTCTCTCATCTTCTCAGAACGGAGAGTCTTGGCTGAATGTTTTCCGGCAGTGGTGATGGGCAGTGCATTTTTTAATTAAAAAAAATTATTAAAAAAAAAAAAACCATAAAACACCAACAGAAAAGAGAATAAAACCAGACCACCTCAACTAGAAATGCTTTCAAAAGCAACCTAAAAATGAGAAGAATCCTAGACCATTATGATCCCAGGGGCTCAGTGCCATCTGTTTTAGTATGAAGTATCCTGAAAGAAATGGTTTTTCAAGAAATAGTAAATCATAGTGGCTGAAGCTCTGAGCACTTGTTCTCTGCATTTATACCAAACGGTGGTGGAGTACTGCAGTCATTTTTCAACATCCTACATCAGAGAGAGGATGGGTTTTAATTGCACGGGGACTGAAATACAGACCAGAGATGATGGACTGATCAGTTGTCTTTGGTTCTTCATAACATTAAAAATAGTTGTAATAAAAAAAATGATATAAATAGCGTTATGTCCCATAACCAGAGAAAAAAAAGGCATCGATGAATCCCTCCTCCTCCGATTCTCACAAAGTAAGAAAATATTGATCCTTATGACAAAAGTTAGTTTCGTATGAAGAACAGTTCAGGAGGGTTTCATGGCTAACAGCAGTGATGGCAGAGCATATAACATTAAAGATACAAGTGTCAGTTTGCTGAATCAGTGTCCCAGTGCAGCTGAGAACAGGGCTCTGCAAAGAGGTATAATAGCTTCTTCTCCCTGTTTATCAGTTTCCATGTCATCATCATTTAATTTATCATCTGTACTACTGCAGATCAATTTGACATGGGTTATTAACATATCTGGCTCCTGTGCTCCAAGCCATACGTCTCCGATGTAAACAGAAGTCAGGAACACAGAAACAGCTGTGGAGGAATAAACAGAAAACAATCAGAACAGATATGTTTTTTAGTACCACATAGCAGTAACAAAATAACCCACTTTATCTAGACAACTATATTTTAAAAGCTTCCTGACTATTTTCTAGGTGGAATACGTGCGACTCATACATGCGTTCACTCATACAATGCCAACTATCTTCTCCATAGTAAGGAAAGGTAACAGTTTCCTGTTAGCACACCCTGCCAACATCTTTAAATTAAAATGTCTGGAATCTGACCTGTGCCTTCTGCAATCCAATAGGCACACTGAACAGTATTTGGATCAGAACCCATGTGGATTTATTTGTTGCAGACTATTGGAGTTACGTTTTACATACCTCACTCAGCTCCATTAAAATCCCAGAAGGGAAAGTTTCTTTCAGGGAGTATGACTGTTGTACAACCAGAAACCCCTACAACACAGCCATATTTCATTCTGCCAACCCACACACCCATACCACCTGAGACACAGCTCTCATATTGTTCAAGTGATGAGCACCAACAGACACAGAACTCCAGTTATGAGGAATAAAAATACCTATGGAACAACCTATTGTCTATCACAACTCTGCCTTATAACATGATTGAGAAAGAAGAGTCAAGTTACCCTTCTTGTTCACATCCTCTTCCGTCATTGCTGACTGGCACAACGTTTTTACAAGTTCATGACAGCTGTTGTTAGTCAGGCCCTGAGCATCCATCAGGTGAAGCATGATTGAACTGAACAAACAGAGCTCTTTTAAGTGTCCCACTGCCCCACTGCTGGCCTCACAGATCCGACTGTAAAACCTGTAGATGTTGTTCCTCAGGGTCTCATCCCTGAGCACCTCCTGCACTGCCACTGGGTGCGGCAAGATGCAATTCTGCAGCCACTGCAGAGTCAACGAAACGTTCCGCATATTGAGGCTGTGCTCAACCATAGACTTCACCAGCCATTTTGTTACTATGTATGCGGATGCACAGGTCAGACTGACTGTTTCATCTGCAAGGTCAGCAGATTTGAGGGGTTCTTCTGAATGTTTGGTAGGCAGCGCTGGGAAAACGGGCTCCCAGTGGACAAATATGGTGCTCAGATCCTCTCTGCATTTCTCCAGCTCAGAGATGTTCAGATCTGCAGCCATGCAGTCTTCTCCTGTCTTTCTCCTTTTTTGACTGCGACGCGATGAGGCTTGGGATTTGCTCTTTTCTTTAATATTTTCTGTAAGAAGAAAAACAACATCACAGTAAACACCAGGTCCTCCAAAGGACTTTTTTGTACCAAATTATTCAAGAAAGACTGATCAGTCTGGATCAGACTTTCAGTTGCTAAAAGGGTAAGCAGTAGCCTCATTTAACAGCTTACACAATTCAGAGCAAATAGGCTGCAGTGACTCCCACACTGAAAAACTCTTCTGAACTGGATCACCTAAATTTGAAGTGAACAATAAGGCCAGTGACGCCCTGGCCCAATGCTACATGAAATCACAGCAGCATTTCAGAGGTCTATGAGATGCAGTTTTGCCAGTAAGGCTACATTATTTGCCCAGGGAAGCTATGGTGCCCCATCCCTGGAGGTGCTTGAGGCCAGGTTGGATGGGGCCCTGGACAGCCTGAGCTGGTGGGGGGCAGCCCTGCCCACAGCAGGTGTTGGGGTGGGTGGGCTTTGAGCTCCTAGCCCAAACCATTCTGTGATTTTATGACTATTTACACCAGATCATGAGAAATTCACACATCACAACTCTTCGGGCTAGTGGAGTCACAGCACACACCAGCTCAAGGAAGGAGACACCAGCATAGATAAACTTCTTAACAATGCAGGCTAAAAGAGCAAAGCATGCCCTGCTCCAACATAGCTGCATCCTGACTGAGTGTGGCTGATAAGTGTGGGATGGGAATTTTTCACATACCAAGTGCACTAAATCTCCAACCAAGTTTTATTTTAAAGCTCTTTCACTTTTTGAGAATTGACTGCTCTAAAGCTTCCAGAATTGTGTTAAAATTAGAAATCACTACAATATAGGTCTGAAAATTGGCTTCCCCCATTTCCATTACCTCCTCCCCCAAGCTGCATCTGATTGACTATAGTTATTAATACTTCTTTCTAGGAAGCTTGCCTAACTTGCATGGTTAACATACAGCAACCTTAACAGTATTAATCTCCTTCTATGTTGTTAGTACTTACTAAGCAGTTCTTTGATCTGGTATTTCTGAGCAAGATTCTGCACATCCTCTTGGAGCTGCAGGTCTTTTTCAATGATGCTCCACTTATGCAACAACAGCAGGATGTCTTTGTTTGAGAGAACACTGCCATTCACAGTGAATCGACTCATTTCTTTAAAGGCCTCCACAACAAGAGCACGATATCCCAGCACAGAACTGAATGTAGTGAAAAACTGTGCCAGCTTGGCTTGATCTAAATTAGTCCTATAAAAATAGTAACAGAAGCACCATGTATTTTTCTGGATGCTAATGAGTAAAATGCAATAATAAACACAGGTTTTCCTCCTTCTACTCTCCTCTTACAATTCTCCACTTCTATTTCTCGAGGTACCAGTATTAATTTCATTCCCACTTCATGCTACTGGGGTCTGGCATACAGCTCATGGAACACAGCCTTTGCCCTCCCAGCTGCAACAGCCAAAGGCATATGGCACACAAGGAAGAGGCCAGAGGTCTGGCACTTCATTTTGCATGTATCATCAGAATTTTGAGAAAATAAGTAGAGTTTCTCAAAATTGTGGCAATACTTCTCTGCATGAAGAGCTGCAGGTGCTATTAGGAATTCAAACAGAACTGTTTATCTACCTGTTTGCATACTGCTTTCCCTGCTGCAGCTGCTGCACGTGGGCTCATTGAGTGTGCAGAGAAGGGACTAAAACCTAATTAATACTGCTGTGTAGAACCCTGCATGACTTCATATAATTTGCAGGCATGGTTCAGACACGAAAAGAGCCCAACACATTGGAGAGCATGAAAGATCCCTGCAACAAACAGCACCACCAACTGCAGGCACTAATCCAGAAGTAAAAAACAGCTTAAAACACAGCAGCTTAAAAATAGCTAATTACTAAGGATGTAGAACTTGATGGTAACCATGCAACAGTTGTCATTTTGTTCCCAGTATATTCCAGCAGCTGCATCTTCCTGAAAATCTCACTGAGGTTCATGAGCTGACATTCAGACTGAAGGGGAGAAGAGCATTACCCTCATCAGAGACTGAGATATTCTCTCAGCCTTCGTAAATTTCAAACTGGACAGAGCACAGTATGCAAACTTCTTTAAAAAGAAAAACGACAACAAAAACAACTTACCGAATGAGTTTAACTAAAGTGATCAAAACATACAGAAATTCGTTTACAAGCTGAATAGGAAGAAGCTTCCTGTTCTCCTGCGGCTTTTTCTTGCTTTCTCTCTTGCTTCCTATATTTGTCAGCCACAGAGTATGGACTAAGGAAATGATTCTATTTAGCAGCTTGTTTTCCAGAAACCTGAAAAACCAACAAAGAAAGGAATAAATACCCATAGGGAAAACAGACTTTAAGCAGAAACCAGTCTGCATTTCAGAGAGGGCTGCATTCTGGTGCACGCTGAGAGCAGCTACTTCACAGCCAGGACCTGTCAGGACTCGAGGCCCACGAAGCCCCAGCAGCGGAGACCCAGGCTGCTGCCTGCCCTCAGACAAGGGAAAAACCCAGCACCTCCTCCTGCCACACTGCAGTTGGGGAACAGCAGTGCATTACAGCCCTCGCACAAGGCTAGCGATTGCTGACTTGCACCTTTCTCTACAAAGGCAAGGCAATCCATTCAGTCACAGCCACTGACACCATTTCCTTAAAGCAATTGCTGTTCAAGACATCTTGGGTCCTTATATTCCTAAGGCTTTAAGCAACAACAGCAATGCTTACAGCACAGTATCAGAAGTCACATGTATTAAGGAGGAAAAGTAAAAAGAAAGAAAAAAAGCAATCATTTTTGCACAGAGGATGTGAGAAGAATACTCATCAAAAGGACAAACACCAAGTAACCACTGAGTGCCAGAAGCCAAATACACAGTCTTCCAAATATACTACATGATATCAAAGAGAGGTGGCTAGTACCCTAGTACCAGCTCCTGAGAACTGTTTGCACTCTGCTGTTACCATCATGGGGCATTCACTGGGACCTGTTCAGGCTGATCACAGCACAGATGATCCTGACAACTTGCTTGAACCTGCCAGGAGAATCTATGCAAGAGAGATTGTGCACATATATGTGCACATGCGTGCACACATCTCAGAGAAGCAACTGGAGTGTTACAGTGAGCTCAAAATCAGTGTCACACAAGTACTCTATCAGAGGTCCTACACCAGGTTGTGAGGTGTGGGTATTAGACAGATTTGGGTACACAAAAATAACTTTTTTCTTTTCTAAGGTTTTCAGAAACATGAAACTCTCCTCCTACTGCAATTTGAAAGTGCCTTGATTTTGTTTTTAGATACACAAGGGAACACTTCATAGTTCAGCAAGTTCTGCCAGTATGGCCTTAGGTGCCAAATATCAAGACCACTAACAGAGTCATTTCTGTATCTGCCACCCTTTGTTTTCATATTCAGTTACATAATTATTTCCTGCACGTGGGACAGTAGAATTGTTCTCATTTCACCAATATTTCCCTAGTTACCTTTTCTCTAAGACATGCAGTACCCAGGTTAGGAGGCTGTGGTCTTGTATCAGCTCATAAGCAGCTCTAGTGACACAGGCAGCATTTTGTAGCACTTCTAGAATGTGGTTCTGAAACAGAAAACAATTTGTTCTTTACAAAATTAGAATATAGTCAACATCTAGTTACTACTCATCTTTCGGAAGGATGTAATTAGCAACCTGACTGGTATCTGGAATCCAATCAACTTAAAATATATCCCCAAACACCGCATGTTCAGAGAACAAAAGACATTCTCTTTCCAATGTTTCATACACACAGACACTCATCTTCAAGGAAGCAAGACAGCTTTCTCTCTGTCCAAAATTGTCATAGTTAAGTGAGATACTTTAAACAGTGGATTTCTCAGGATGGACGATTATAATCTTAAGAGCTGATGGCCTCTGAACTTTCTTCTTCTTAATGCACTGCACAGATAACATGCTAATTAGGGTATCAACAAAACTAAAGTCTGCAATGTTTTCCACAAAGCAGAAGAAATAAGACTGTACAGCCAGACCATCAGCTGATGAGAGTGAGTGAAGGGCCCCATCCAACCTGGCCTTGAACACCTGCAGGAACGGGCACCCCCAGCTTCCTTGGGCAGGGTCCTCTCCTAATTTCAGGGCTCATATATGTGACTGGTTTAGACATAAGAATTTCCCTCTTCAACATGTACAAAATCAACAATGAAAAAATTTTCAAGAGGGAAAGGGAAGAGTCAACTGATCCATTCTGCTTCATATTTAAGATATTCAAACCACATCACTTGATTTATCTTTACTTATCTTTAAATTCTTACCTGTGAGCCTTCATCACACAAAGGACTGTTGAAAAAGGAAAGAATGACATGGAAGATCCTCTGGTAGTCATAGAGCTGGTAGCAGTGTTTATCACGCAGCCCTTCCCCAAGAAGTCTGAGAACCCAGTCACGTTCTATTTTGTGCTACAAGTCATAAAAAACAGCACCATCAGACATTTCAGAATGATAACTGCTCATTAAGCACAACAAACCAGTAGCCTGGGAATGCCAGCACAGTGCTCAGCAGCTTCTTCTGGACTTTTCCACTTTCACCCCCATTACATTTAATCAATAACTACATCCATCAAGAACAGCTACTCTACGGCCCAAATACGCACTGACAATGGGACTTGTAAAGTTGCTGTTTCTAAAATATCTCAATCACCCTCCAGTTTAAACTATTAAACTGAAACGTGAATTGAATTAGCTGGGGCAGAACATTCTGCTTGTTGTGCTGTACAGTACACAGCACAACTCATGATTTCATTATCTGCTCTTATTTAAATAAAAAAAAAGGAAAAAAGAAAGCCAGAAACAATACTTCCCATTCAAATATAATACAGAGCAATGATCTCTCTAATTATCTCTGAAAGAATAAGATTTGATTGCATTTTTATGTCGTTTTTGTATTCTTTTTGGAAGAATAAGTGGATATCTATGAAGGGATTCTTAAGTTACCTCAAAGTCAAAACTGTAGAAAAGCTGGAAAAACCCTGGTACTTTCCTCAGGTCCAAATACTGGTGTGACAGAAGGAACCTGTTGATCTTTGTATACATGTGCTCCTCTGTGAAGAGAAACAATGGCTGGTTATTGAGGAGGAGGACAATGAACCCAATATACAACCACACAGAAAAATAAACAGAACCAATATTTTCAGCTAGCTGTCAAAACAGTGTGTTAGCTACAGCAAGGAGAGCTTGTGCTCTAAGGCTGACTGTATTGTTTGAGCTGGACCAAACTACTTGGAGGGGAAATTCAAACTCAACTATTTTTTCCAGGGCTGCTGATGTTTGGTCAGGCATCATCCCACAGGGCAAAGCAGGTATCCCAATAGAGACTGCCTTCCAGACATGTTCAGTATAGTCCTATGCACATTCACAGTCACCTCACAACTCTGTGGCATCAGCTGTGCTCATGAAACACGGAAATAATGTAAGAAAAATGCTACTGAGCAAATGAAAAGTAGGAGTTGTGTCGCATCAACGTTTCATAGACAAATGGTATTTAAAGGCCTCAATTTCAGGTGCAGTTACCCATGCAAACCTCCCAGAGAGCTTGTACGTGGCATATCAAACAAGGTGAGAGGATAACAAACAATGGACGTACGTTAAAACATGATACTTTCAGACTAAATGTTAGGAATAACTTTTTCCCATTTAAGAACAGCAAGGCAGTGGAATAGATTGCCCACAGGGGTTGTGCAACCTCCCATCCTTGGGGGCAGTCTATGATTCAGTCTGGAAGACTGGATGTTTCCTAAGGTAAAGCCCTGAGCAAAATTAACTGTCTTCAAGGTTGGCCCTGCCCTGGACATAGCATCTAGCTAAAGATTTTGTGAGGTCCCCTGTAACCTTGATGCTGTTTCTCCTTTGCAAAGATGACTTAATTGATTCAGTGCCTAAGGACAAAAGGTTACTCAGGCCAACTGACTCTGATCTGCTGAACAGGACACACAGACTTTCACTTGTATAGTCCTTTAATGATCTCCACCCCAAAATTCCAAGGAGGTAGAGTTGCCATCTTTAATGGACGCAGCAAAAAGTCACTTTCCAGTCTTCCAGCAATAAGGCAGTCCAGGCAAACACTGAAAGCTTTTCTCAGAAATACAGGAAAGCACGCTTTGTGGCTGCTGCCACTCTCACGGTAACTCAGCCTCCAATGTCAACCAAGGACATCACTCCATGCACACCCACCCTCCTCTTCAACATGCCAGAAATTCAACATGTGCAATAGGTTACAGTACCTGGCTTCAGCATCTGCTGTGCCACACGAGCAATGTAGAGGGTTAGGGAGAAGGTAAATCTGAGGTTCTGCTGCCTGATTCCATTTTGCACAGCATCCATGAGATACAGCAACTGCAGCACGAGAACCCAGGGGAGATAAAGCTTGAATTATCACCCAAACAAATACAACAGCAGAGCATACATACAGAAGTAGGGTTTTACGATATTATGAAGGCCATAATCAAATACCAACCGCACTGGGATTTCTGTTCCTACAAATGAAGACGTTATGAATTTCTAAATGTGTTTTCCCCTCTTTTTCTTCCCAATGAATTCAGAATCACAAATGCAAAAGTGATAGAAAACAAGTAATGGAACAGAAGATAAGAAGCTGCTTTGGGCTCTTACCACGTGCAAGCAGGCAGGTTAGTAAGGCAGCAACTCTCCCCTAAGTGTCTATGACCTAAGATGTCTAACCTGGCAAACTCTCAGTGGAGCTCAGCCTTACCTGTTTCTGCTCTCGAAAGCGAGCTCCTTCCAGATGAGAACGAAAAGAAGCCAGGACAAAATATGCCGCTGCTCTCATGTTGGAATCATAGCTACTAAGGGCAGCCACCGTTAGGCCCAAGGCATTGACTTCAACAAACTTGTGACATGCTACTAAACATTCTGTGAGCAAAGGAGAAAAAGAAAGAAAAACATCCAGTGCATCATACTCACGTGTTGTAAAGTATATAACAGCACTACAATCCTTATTAGAACTTCCACTCATAAACACCAATTTCTAGATCTACTTCCCCGAGCTCCTGTTTCATCAAGAGCCATACGCTCCTTCAGCTAACAAAAGCATCCTGCAAATCGCTCAGCAAGAATTCTTTAATAGCACTGAAGTTAAGGTGGTTACTCATTTCTTTCAGACAGATATGAATCTGTCTGGCAGACCACACAAAGTTAGCAGTAAATTCTCTTAAGATATTTCATATCCTACTGTTTCAGGAAAACTAAGTGCAAGAAAGAAGAGGAGGGAAAATTCTCTTCCTCATTATTGTCTGGGTGCTTGGTAAGTCCGGGCATGAAAGCAAGATCAGCACAGACAACAGAAAACCTACCTGCAACTAAAGAGTTTTCATTATACAATGGATAAGAGAGTAATATCTAAATAAGTCATTAGCCACTTTAGAAAAACTACTGTGATCATGCAAGCATGGGTGATTCTGCTGGTAAGGCATGTTCCTACCAAAGTGCTAGGCTGTAACCCAGCAATGATCAGTAACCAGCCAAACAGAAAACACTCTTGAACCTACTATTTATCTTCCATAGCATTTTGTCATCAAGATGCTGAGTTTCTTTTTTAGGGGCTGTGTGTTCTTGGCTTGTGCCACTGCTACTCACAGGGGCTGGCAATGACTTGATGTAAAACCTCCAGACTACCTCCTGTGCTATCTGTATTTAACAGTCACAAAGAGATTGATTAGGAAAACCATCTCTCACTGAAAACATGCAATAGTATTTTCCATCCAGCTGACCTTGGAGAGCACACTGAACAACTAACATCAAATAACAAGCTAATACGAAAAGAAAAAAAAAGTTCTGTCTCTATCTGACATACAGTTTGTTTAAAGTACCTTGAGAATCATGATGGAGAAGCTTTCCACAAGATGCTTATCAGAGCTAAACTTAGACAGAACTTGCTATCTGCCCAACTCCAGACTCACTTTTTACCCAGTTAGCATGAAACACTGTGCAGTAAGTCTATGTTTTTAAATCCAGCAGTTGTATAACATCTGTGCACAGGGCACTGTGCAGCCAGTACAAAGAGCAAATAACTAAAGAATGAGGAATTCCAAAAGCAGCTGACATGGTTTAGGAGCACCATGGGACTCAAACGCACAAATCACTTGTGCCTTTTAAAAGGCTTCTTTGGGAACACTCACAAAATCACATAGAGCAGTTTGCAACTAAATACAGGATGAGGACATACAAAACAGAAACTGCACTGTAAGAGTTTAAGTGAACAAGGAAAGACCAAGAGTGATTTCAATGATAGACAGTTATCAACCAGCTAATTGCTTGTGATGTTGTTGTGGAAAACAAAACCCATTAGGCACGCAGTGGTTAACCACAATCAGCATCAGGAGGGAGCTGGTTAGAAATGCCTTACGATCTATTTCCCACTTTGATTTTTAATAGCCCTTGAAATAGGCAGTGTGCAGGTGAGTAACAGCAGGGATGTGCATACACAAAGCAGTCACATAAAAAAAAAAAAACTAAGTGAGGCTAAGCAAGTAGTTTTCAAGCACTATGCAGACCTCACTAAACTTTCCAGAAATACTGAACACAGGCATAGTCACATCCATGATGGCCCCACACATCTGTGTGATGGACTGCAGCTGGGGCACTGTCCTGCCTGTTCTGCAGGATACAGCTCTCCATAGTCACCAGAAAATACACAGCTTTTCAGTTGGGAATATTCTCTACTGATCTCTTTTGTGCTTGTTTTATAACTGCACTGCCCTGTTCTCTGGACTATACAGAATCAAGTTCAAAAGGTAAGATAATATAAATCTGTATCTAATTTTTAACTCTAAGCTGGTTTTAGTTCCAGTTTAAAAACCTCTCATCATTTTAAGCAGATCAGCCCCTCCACACAAGGTTCAATAGCTACATTTGAAAACGTTATGAGGGAATACTTAGTGTTCTGGAAAATAACAGCTTGGTGCCTATGCTGCTACATAGTTCTAAGTACCTAAATCCCACTAGAAATACTGCACTATTTGGAAAAGTGCTTTAAAAAGACTTAAAGAGCAATTATGCCTGGTTACCTTTTAAGCCACTTTGAAATTACACTGCAGTTCAGTAGGTGGTTAAACCATGTATATATTTCTCCTTTCCAAAGCAAGCAATGTGATTTCTTTGAAGTATTAACCCTCAGACTTTAAATAACAGCACTACAGATGGAGCCATGCAGCTCCCACAGTAGAGTAAAATCAGACAAAATGTCAAAGAGGGAACACTCAATTTACCTGGTCTGGTCAATTCACTGAAGAGCTGAAGCAGAAAACATGGATCATAGAAATCATCAAGATCCTTGACACTTTCATCTCTATACAGTGACTCTTGTACCTCCTGAAACCAAATGCAAACCAAGATGATGTAAGGAACAACACTGATTTCCAGCTTGGTTTCAAACTGTCCCAACCATCTCATTCCACTATACAGCAGCAATTCTAAATCTTGCCTAAATCTAAATCTAACACAACTTGGGCCAAGGCATGCTTCAGTTTATACTTAGCTTTCACTAACATGGTTTCAAAATTATCAGAAAAACATAAAGAAGCATTTTAGCAAACTATCAAAGACAAAAAGAAGCTCACTGTCAGTGAATACTTGGACAGCCAAATTTAACATCTTTAAAAGTCAAATTCTGATGACAGTTACACATGGCAATATATAATCACACCTACAGACAAGATGTGGTCTCACTGCAAATCATTTGAAAAATAATTCTTTCATTTCAGGCAAAAAAAAAAAAACCCAAAATAAAAAAGCATTCAGCAAAGTGCTCCTAGCTAATTAATTCCCTTTTATGAATGTAAATGTCTATCCTGATGTAAACGAATGGCAATATGTTAGATGAATGCAAAACAAAAAGAAGGACTGAAGTGAAAGGCTTTTTTCGTATCACAGGAAGGATTATTCAGCACACTAAGTCACAGCACCTCTGATGGCAAAAGACGGCGATGCTGAGGGAAAGACAGAACTGTCTTCATCATCTTATCTCGATCGAGCAGACACAGGATCTCCTCCATGCTTGGCTGCTGCCATAGTGACTTCCCTAGACTCTTGCAAGTCTTGTGATGCTCCACAGCAGCTGGACCCCACAGCAGGATTCTTAAACATTGTTAAAAGTAAAGGCATTAGTCAACAGGCTGATAGCACCAAGCAAAAAGTAATTACAGAGGCTATAAATTAGTATTTAAATTTTCCCTTCACTTCTTCTCATTATTCTGTGGCAACTTGAAACTAGAATTCGTTTCCCTGGCAACACCTTTTTCATCCATCCAAAAGCTTCTCAAATTCAGTCTGAGGGTGTCTCATTAACTATTTCCTAACCTGGTAATTCAAGTCAGAGCTTACATTCTCACAAAAGAGGCTTCCTCTTATAAGCTGTAAATACAGGTAAGAATGATGGTAACTGCATGGAGAGAGCGATCAATATGTAGTCAATGAACGTTGTCTCAGCTGCAACTGATATTTCAAACCAGCATCACAGTGTTTCAGTGACACAACATTCTTACACTCCTCCCAACTTGCCCCTCAAACCCCACTTACTGTACTGACACTGATACTGTCATTTACTATGTGGGTACTACCACCAGCATGCCCCTCTGTCAGTGAAGCAAGTGGTGGGATGGCGTTGGGCTCCTTATCACCCAGAACCTGAATGCCCTGTAACACAAGCTGGGATCTGCTGGGTAGTCACTTTCCCTGAATGTGCTCTATATTCACTCAAACTCTTCAGTGCTGAGTAGCCAGTGTCTGGTCACCAATTCACTTCAGGGTACAGTATGAAATTGTTTCTCCTTTAAAAAGACTATAAATGTTTGGGGTCCTAATTGCCTCTGAGAACAGTCTCCTCCAATTTAATACCCTCCCAGTGGCAAACACTTTTGGTGAAGATTTATGCAGCATGCAACTACTGCCAAAGCCCTTGCTTCTGGAAGCTACTTCAATTGCCTTTTAACAAGAACTTTCATTTACTGTTCCACTTTATAGTCTGCAAAGATTATCTACAGTCTCAGGCAAAGCTCAGGAAGGAAATTAGGCTTCTAATTAAGAGTCCAGTCCCTCTTCAACTGCCTGAGCTGGTACTTTAAGTATCATTTGATATGGAAGAGACCTTTAAAGGCCATCTGGTTCAACTCCCCCCTGCCATGAACAAAGACACTCACAGCCAGATCATGTGCTCAGAGACCTGTCCAGTCTGACCTCTAGCTACATGCATCTTAATACAAAAGGTTACACATCACTTCTTCACTGGCATCTTCCTCCCCTCTACAGCAAAGGGCTCTAACAGAACATCATGCTCACAGGAGCAAGGGCAAGGGTTATGCTGAGTAGCAAATGATGTATACCAAGAGAACAGGAAGGAATCCTACACTAGCAACTAGCATACTGGCCTTCTACTGACTGGGGCACTCATTAAACACTGATGCTGCAGATACCCATATATGATCCCTTTGTCCAAAAGCCTGGGCAATATGAATTTTACCTTTTATCCATTTTCCCATTTTCATACGAAGAATGTTTCAAAAAGCAACATTCACCTCCAAGTTTGACCTTGCTCACTTATTTTCTCAGTTAAAAATAAGACCCTGGAAAAATTCCAGCTGTGAGACTGCTTACTTGTGTATAATAGGTCAAATAAAGGAAGGAGGTCAACTTACCTGGAATTTATAAGACTTTGATTATTCTTCTCATATAACTGAAGCAGCAGCAGTATCTTCTGATCTAAAAAAGAAAAAAAAACAAAAACAAAAAATGAAAGCTATAGTCAGTCATCTATGAAGATGAGAAACAGATCTAGTAGGAGTACCTTTCCCAGGCTGACATACCTACAGTACTCAGCGTAGCCCCATAGGCTCCCAGCAGCACAGCAAGGTGACTGCTCTCACATACCGAAGGGTCAAGTTTCACAATTGTCAGCAGGATATCCACCAGTGCCTCTGAAATAAATGCATGCAGGTTTAAGTAGTTTCACAACTACACCAAAGGACGATTAGGAGACAGTTGAAGGCAAAAAAGGAACACGTTTTGAAGAAGTTTAAAAAGCATTTCCAAGGTGAACAAGCAGATGTTACTGTGAAGCAAGCTTCACAACGTGGCATACCTCCCTGCCAAACTTTTCTATGGACATACATTTGTTACCTTGGGAAAAAAAGAAAAATGAAGTTCCACACTCTACTCTGCCCTGCCACTGTTCCATCCTCTCTTGGGAAAGATTAAGGTAACAGGAGTTGCAAGGAGTAAAGACACACATCTCAGCAACTTTCCCAAGGCACTCCAGAACACAGAAAATCATGCTCTAGCTGCAGTAACTTATCAAAATGTTTCTACAGCATACACGTAAAGAGCTGTCTTCACTGCAGAGTCATTTAGCAAGCTACAGTAACTCTGTCCTGAGTTGTACAGAAGTTATTTGCCTTTGTTTTATGACTAGCTGAGGAACAGATGAGTAAGTGATTAGGTTACTCAAAGTCAAATAGGTTATCTGTAGCAGATTCAAGATCTGAATGCAGATCTCTCTGCTCCCAGTATCTGAAAACACACAGGCTATTTCGCCCAGTACCTACAGGAATGTACCAAAATAATACACATCATAAAGACACTGGTCTAAATGAATGCACTTTTGACACCATGCTTATTAATTACTGAAGTTAGCTCCAAACAATCCATTCTGCTGCTTTGCAGAAATACATTCAGATGGCAACATACATACAAAATCTATTACTTGTTAGGACCCAATTTGTATTATTCATGGAAGGGCAGTGCTAGCTTTCAAGAGGAATATCAAATATACATGGAGTAAATTAACATTCAAGATAGAGTTTGCAAACAACTTAAAATCTTCTGCACTAACCATTTCTAAAATAAGGGCCTCTGTCACATAACTCTAAAAGAGTCTGCATGCACTTCAATGATCTTACTTACAACTTCACAGAAACCAAAAGAATCAATTCAAGACTTCAACAAGATTTAAAAAGGAAAAAAAAGAGGCACAAACCTGCCTTAACAGAGTTTCTGAAAATGTGAGAGTTTAAAACTGGCAACCACAAAATGAATGTGAACACCTGAATCCAAACACAGGTAGAATTTAAAACTAAATGCTAATATTCTGGAATTATCTAATAGCTCTGCAAGTATACGTGGGTGGATAGGTTCCTGGATGGATAGAATATAATGGGAGAAAGATAAGATTGCTAAATATAGTTAAATGGAAGGAAGGAGAAGAAAATATACCTCTTGTCTGGATGTTCGTGCCATCTTCTTCTCTCGACCTCAGCATGGCTGACAAAAATAGAGAATGGTGCGTGACCATCATGTGAAGTTTGGAGAGCTTGACTAATCTCTGACTAAGTGAGGATTCTTCCTTGTATAAAAACTGAATAGCAGTGTTCAGGAACTTCAGAAATGCTTCATCTCTGTAGCGGTACCTTCAGAAGTAAAGATCACAAAACAGTTACGGAATGTCTCTCCCTCAGCCATTCTGCTTTAATTCCTTTTAGGCAATAACTGGTATCCTGATCAACAAAAGGTAAGAGGATGGGACACAGTCACACTTGTAGCTGCAATGAACTTAACAAAGGATGAGAATTTCTCCTACTAATCCATCAGACAGCAGCCCCTCACATCAATGATTTTACCTCAACAGAAACTATGATTATCCTCAATACCAACTTCCTTTGATTTCTTTTCTGTAAGTGGTTTACATTAATGGTGAAAGATCTGATTTATTTTCATTCTGATAGTACGTAAGAAATATCTTAAATGAAAAGGAGCATAAATAAGCATGAGGCTTCTTTACGCCAATCAAGAAGGTGGTCCAACTATCCAGTGTTAGTTATTCACTCTGGAGCACAAAATCCCAGTGCTCAGACTTCAATGAAAACAGCTCATGAGAAGCAAATAGCACCATCAAATCTAAGTGAGTTCAAGAGAGACAGGATTTATCCAGGGTGCAGGACAAGGCCACATGAACTGAACAGCATTTTTGGTGCATCTCAGTTACTTACTTTAGTCCCGTCTTCACAAGACTGTACCAGTCATCTGGGTCCACTTCTTCAACTAAGCTCTGTGCATGCAGTAAACAGAAAGAGATGCTTATGTTTAGTATATAACGTTTCTACAGATCACGACCAGCAATTTCTGTTCCAGAGACCCATTAAAAACACGCAAGCCAAACATGAGACAATTAAAGGACAACAGGAAAGAAAACTCTTAAGACACAATAATCCCACCTCCTGATTCAAATGAAACTGCAAGTATTGTTTTGTTGGGTCTGGGAATGAGGAAGCACATGAGCTGTATGCAATTAAAAAGCCAGCTGGTCTCTAGGTATCCAAAAAAACAACCAAAAACAAAACAACCAACAACTATCTTTAAACTCATGAGGCTCCCAGAATTCGAAAGGATTACAATGCTGGCAAGTCAAAGAGGCTGTTACTCAGGTACTAGAAGAGTACCTTCACATACTTACAGAGTACTTAACTAACAACTGCACATGACAAGCGGGTACGACAGCTGGATGAGCTGGGTGTACAGTATGGTCTTTAATAAATTCATCCTCCCTAGAGTACTACAGACCACAACATGAACAATCAGTTTTCAGAAGGCTCAGAACTGCGTATGCCAGCAGTCCTGGCAATGCTAAGCATTAACCTCATCAGGCCTGTACAATCAAGATTAACGTTATGAGATGGCCCCTCAGGTCCTGCAAGACCCCAGTCTGCACAATCAGGTCCTAAGAGAGAATCTCACGAAAAGCCAGCAAGAGGTCAAATGCAACCACTGCCTGAAGAAAATTCCAATTTTTTTCTGTCCTTCATGGATTTGCTTACCCTACACAAGTGGAAGAAAAAAAAAAAAAAGCAAAACAGAGAGAGAATGAGCCAGCAGGTGTGTTTTGTGACCAAATTCAACTAGATTTCTGCCACCTACTTCTGAGGATGTGGCAGGTGGGTCTTGCCAGAAGTGTCTCTATGTTGTCACTTTTGTTTTTTGTTTTTTTTAAGTAAAAACATCCATCAACAAAAACATCCAAACTTTCGATTTTTTTTTATCTTAAACGCTTTGAACACTGGTTTTCAAAAAGCACTGTTGGTAGAAACCTATCATCAACAACTCAAAACTGGTCCTTACCAAGGAGTGGAAGGACAAAATTAACTTTGTAAAAAGCTGTTAAAAGCCTTCAGAAGCCTTAAGTTATTTTTTTTGTTTTATAAGTCCAACCTGCATTTACCCAAGACACAAACACAAAAGCACAATAACACATATCTATACAGTCACAATCCTGGATGCCAGCAATGGACATTAAAAAGAAGTCTCACCAGTAATTCTTCTAGCCTCAGTAGCAGTGGCCTCTCCACATCTTGCTTGCTTTCATCTTTACAGCTGTTGTACATGACAACTAATCCTTTCATGCAGGCTGATAAGAGGCCTCTTCTCCAGGAATGCAGCTCTTCAGAGTTTTCAAGCACTCTAGAGATGGCATCTGCTACTGTCCAACTGCAGAAATATGTATTTTAAAATGTTACATCAAGCTTTGTGTGTAGCCTAAAGCTGTGCGGCTGCCAAGCTTAAAGCAACAGATTCTCTGAAGACGGCATTACTGTTCATAATATTTCCATTCACGTGTATTTATTACAATGCTTTATGAATCAAACTTTGCCACAGAACAGGGATACAGGACTGCCTACCTCTCATTATTTCCTGCTTGCTCAAGAGCAGCAGGGAGCTGGTCCATAAGCTTTCGCAGCCCTTTGCTTTGTGAAGACGGCAGTAACTTTGAAAGAATTTGCAGCTTTACAGTGACCTCATTGTCAGATGCTTCTGTGTCTTGAAGTACACCAGAGATCTCTTTCCACATAGCCTTTCTCAGGACAGGTAGAACAGCTGAGACAACTGCAGAGAGAAAGCAGGGGGCATCAGTTTCACCAGAAGTGTTAAGCAACAACTGACATAATTAGAAAAATTCCAAACCACTTCTCTAATTAAGCCCCAGCTCACTCAGTTTCTAACCATTACGCTACAGTTGCTGCTAAACTGCTACAGAGGAGTGCACTCTGCTCCTTTAACATCATCACAAGTATTTAGCAAATATACCAGAAAACCATTTGCTATGCAAATAATTAAACATGGAAAAATAATGCAGATATTTAAAAGAGGGACAACTACGTGATTAAAAAAAAAACCTTGTCCTTGATTATGAGGAACAAGGAAATCCTTACCAGTTCTCTGACCATGGACTCAAGGGAATTGTACTCCCACATCAGCAAACAGCTAGCATGTACCTTATAAATCAGGTCAGCTTGCCAGCAGTTTCCTCTTCCAGCATTCAAGCACAATATCATTAATTGAATTAGGTGCCAGAAGAAGGCTTAGTTCTTTTATCATCCTGTACCAGTGAGGTATTTCCACTACTTGAACTTCCCCTACACAGAACTACCTTTCCCCACCAACTGTTACAGTGAGCCAGATTCTGTTGTTATTTACATTTGTATACAATAAGAGAAATTAATCTAACACGATCCTACTGATCTGAATCTTAAGTCAGTTTTGCTGGTTGAAAAAAACCTTGCCAATTTAACACTGCTGTTGGTTTGGAAAGTTTTGGATTGTATGCCAATTTAGGAAGGCAGCAAATTAGAAATTTATTTCAGCACGTTTTCAACTCTTACATCTGTCAAAGCAGAAGATTAGATTCCAGAAAACCATATGGCAATGGCATTCCATTCAGTGTTCTAAAGACATCCAAGAAAAAGTTTAACCTTCTATACTAAGCCAAGTAGATAAGCACGAGCATACTTGAAAATCTATGCTAAGTAGCAAGGGTTTCAGAAGACCAGGCATCAGCCACCCCAAAAGTACTTCATAAAGGCTTCAGTCTAACATCCAAGCTTCACTACAGTCCTTCATCTTTTATATTGCAAAGATACTTTAAAAAAAAAAAAGACTATGAGCTCTACTTATTGAGCGGAGAATCCGATATTTTTTAGACCAGAGAATTTGGCCTTCTGAATCATAACAAGGATCAGTTGTGGCTCTACCTGTGGAAGGTCGGGTGAAATCATACCGGTCTCTGCATTGCAAATACACATTAATGAGTGGAAGAAATCTCTCCATGTTTTTTCTGAGGCACTTCTCAACGGAACAGCTTAGGCACCACAGCTCAAACTGCAGCAGGTGAGTCCTACAGTGTTTTATCAGCATGCTTACAATGGCAAGGGAGGTTTCTGACCCCTGGTTAAGGCAGTAAACTTGCACCTCCACACTGACCGCGTGTGCAAGTACTGGCTCACTTTGGAGAGCCTGAAGGAAAACTTTCTCCAAATCTTCACTGGCTGATGCTGACATCAATATCCCCAAAGCTTTAATGTGCTCTGTGGACAGCAGTAGTTCTCCTTGTTGGGGCTGTCTTTGGTAGCTGTCTTTGAGGAGCTGCACCAAAATTTGTCCATACAAGCTCAACTGTTGCCCTTTTTTAGGGGATTTTTCAGGTTTTTGAGTAGTCAAGCTCATCTCCGGAAGTCGCATCATGGTTAAAGTGATCTCTTTCAGCTGAGCTGCAGACATATATGCATGCAGTTCTTGAAGAGCCTCTAGCTGGTGAGACCTCTTAGGAGAGACCTGGCTTCCTCCTTTTCCAACAGCCTGTAGCTCTTTCAATACACTTTTTATGATAGCATCAAAATACTTCAATAACACATGTATATGATTCATGCTCTGCAACATCGGGGCACTTGTTTTCAGCAGCTGGAGCACACCGGAATTGACATGAGCTGACAGAAGCTTCACAGTGACAGGATTTAAACTGTGTTGGGGAAGAGAACTTTGCTCTAAAGCCAGGAACCAACTCTCCAGCGTCGGATGTTTGAAAATCAGCATTAACATATCTTCCAGGGTCTGTAACAAATAGTTGTAACAATATCACTGAATGGATAATTATAGATTGGAAAAAAAATAACATATCTATCTTCCAGAACATGTTTATTACAATTAGTGAACATGAAATCGGCTATTAACCCATCAGAGGATAAAACATTTAACAGGTTACAAGCATATTATTACCATTCTTTCAACATCTATGATGTGGAAGACACCAAGCATTTTCCACACTGAAGCACCTTTTCAAGGGGAAACTGTATATTCTTGGATTCTTCAGTGTAACTTGATTCTAATCTCTAATAATCCACACAAGAAATCAAAGGAGGGAAAAACTCCTCTGACTATCTAATTTTGATAACTAGCCCTAACACACGGCTTTGGAAAACAGAATTGCCTCTGCAAAGCTGTGTGGTCCCTGTCATGACCTCTCCTCACCATATTCCAGCTCAGGGGCAAGACTGTGGATGTTGCAGCTTGTTTGCATCTCCAGCTAGCAGTTCCAAAATTACTGAACCACATACTCAAAGTGCCTTCTCCCAGATGCAAACAGCATCTTTCTGCATCAACCTGCTGCTGTGTAGCACACTTTAATGTTGAGTGCAATCCCAGAAATCCTCACGACTTCCAAAATAACAGTGCTCACAAAGCCTGATGCTGGCTATTTTCCCCTATGCTCTGTCATAATTAACTAATTCCATGCTTTGGTGAATTGCTGATAATACGTCAACAAAATCTGTGCTCAACAATCATTCACTTCTCAGACAAATTCCTTTACTAAGGGCTTCAACAAAAAAAGCTTAGATATTCCCCTGTTCTTTAGTATAGCTCAAAACAAAGTTTTCAATATCAGGTAAACTTCTAGCCTGCGTATCAGGGAACTCTGTACCTTGTCATTTAAAGATTCCTCTGTAATCAGAGACTCTTCATCCATAAAGAGATCCGATTCAGTCTGATGCTTTTCTTGTTTCTGCCGATTATCCAACTCTATCTGATCTCCCCGGCACAACAAGCTGTTCAGCAGGTCCACAAAGAGGTCAACAAGGCGAGGACCTGCAGTTTTACTAAGCTGTGAAAACACAGACACTTTGAAAGCTGAGAAAAGAGGAGGATGGGGACAGAAAGATAGTTAGCCAACAGTAACAGAGTAAGTTAGGAACTTCCTGGATTACAGCCTTTCTAGGGGAAGGAATCACTCCTCGCTGTCAAAATCTGGCTCAAAGAAAAGTCTCAGGGTGCCAAACAAATATTTTTAGATTTTCATCTATGGTGCAACTTCCAATATAACACGTGCCAGTGACTTTCACTCTATAGAAAGGCTTCTTACAAAAACCCATGAGCCAGCTTAAAATCAGGAGTTTATCTGCTCTGCACATAGATCAGTAAGGCAATCTGTGCAAAAAAGATATGAAAGCCTCCTCAACAATTAGAAAGTTAGGATTTGTTTACAAATTATCTGCAAGTTTGTCTGGCCTCTCAGCCTCACCGAGAGCTGAAAAAAGGCGCAGAACTGAATCCTAAAGGTTTAACAGCCAAGTCTATTCTGTTTTATTTTCATGCTACAAATAAAGTCACAGTGTCAACACAACATTGCTCTCTTACACTGCCAAAGTTCTCTACTGTGGATTTCAGGTACAGCAATACATGCTTCACTCCTAACAAAAGTTGTTCAGATGGGAGCTGGCAAGCCAGGTCTCTCAGTTTTGTCTGGATATCATCTTCCAGCAAGACACTGCTTCCTCTTGTATAGGCATTCTTTAGCAAAGTTGTAAACAGAGTGTCCAGAGGCACAGCAGGTTCTCTGCATTTCTCTTTGCGTTTTTTGAACTGTTTAAAGAAACAAAAAAAAACACAAAAACCACATAAGAGAAAATTAAAAATTAGTATCACCTAAAGTTTCTTTAGCTATTTACATGTGGTATCCTGGACTGATATTCCAGGGACACACCTTTACAGTCCTGCTGTCACACATCTTGTTAAAGGATTTCTCATGGGGTACCTGCACATGGTCGCTGTTGGGATAACAAAAACACAGCATCCCCCAGCATGGCTGGTCCATGCATTCCAAACCCATACCTGCGTGAATTCCAGACACTGTTATAATGGCTCCTCTGGCCTTGCATCACTAACATAATGCTACATTGTGCCTGGTGAGGAATTGAGTCTTTGGTGTCTAGGTAGAACCCATGTGCTCTGGCTTCATTACACAACCACAGCAGAAACCTCTCTTGCTGTTAAGAGAAATGTCCTTAAAAACATTTGTGTCCCTTGATGAGATCAAGAAGGAAGACATAAGCTGAACCTAAATCTACTTTCTGAAGGAAACCTAACTTTCATACACCGTCAGCTTTTTAGCAACAATGATTCAAGCATACAAGTGAATTCAGGTATAGCATACCACAGGTTCCTGAGCTTGCTGAGGTATCCAGAGATTATAATACTGGTTAAATTGGTAGAGTTGAGGATACTTAGAAACTTTCAGTGACTGCAGATCTTTATCATAGAGCTGGAATATCAAGCAGAGGGCAAGGGCATCTCTCTGAGAGTGTAGAAGATCAGTGAAAACACCAACAAGATACTCTACGATGTGTGCTCCTAGAAAACCAAAATAAAAGAGACACTTCCGTTAACAACATTTGCATAAGCACACACCCTGAGGGATTAAAGCTTATGTGAGATACTTCTGCCCTTCTCTCCTAACCCTGGAAGGACAGAAGTATCTCACATAAGCTTTAATCCCTCTCTTGAGTGAGGAACGCCACATACCTCCTTCCTGCTCATAACAGTAATAATAAAATGTCCTGTGGAGCTCACTAAGTAAGACTTACTTTCTTCATATAAAAACAAACAAAAAAGTTTTGTACCTGTTTCATTTTCAGTCTGAAGCAGCAGTTTATTCCTGGCTTCTAACGCAGCAGGGACAACAGCACTGAATGGAAATGTTTGAATAACAGTATCTTCATTTAAAGTGAACCCAATTTCTTCATCTAAGCCATCACTGCCCTCAACTAGGACATCTACCATATCAAGGACATCTGTTGAGAGCAGAAAAAGTATAAATAAGATTCAGACTAACTAGAAACCAAAGGAGGTAGAATTCAACACTCAAAGAATACGAGGCAGTTCCTGAATTCCCAAAGCAGAAAAAAGGATGAAAGCACATTTGTCCAGCAAAAACCACTCTTACAGTGTACTCAATTTCAGTCTGTCTTTCAACACAGCTGATAGAAGTAAGGAAAAAGGAGAGAAGAGATCACCACCTGTTGCTACCATGATGGCATGACCATCAGTGACAGGAAACATACATGAAAGCAGAAAGGAAGCAGCTACTGACTCATCAGAAGAACAGCATGGATAGCTCTTGAAGAGCTTCTCAGTTTTGTATAGATACAGTATCTTGGTCACAAAAGACTCAAAAGACAGCTTTAAAATTTGAAGAATAGTATTACAGTGCACTCTGAGACTGGTATTAAGTCTCTGTAACACAGCCAACTCAAGGCATCATATCAACTGATGCTGATGGCTGAATGACCTCAATTATCTTATATTTATGTACTACAAATTCCTACACACAGTTACAGCAGAATAGCCAGCACATGACAAGTCTTCTAGTGTCCATCTGCGGAATTTTCACTGTGCCAGCAATAGGACTGTGACTGGTCCCAGAAAGCAGGAGCAGTAAAATTCCAGCTGTGAGCTTGTTAGTAAGGCTCCCTGCACAGCCCAACCTCTAAACTCATGGATGAATGGAGACGAGCAGCCCCATGGGAAGAAATGTTAATACACTCAGAAAATGCTGGTGCAAGATACGAGATCTTAAATACTGCTAAAACAGCTTAACTGCATCAGAAATTATTTCTTTGGGCAAAGAGGTAACTTTGTAATTCAAAGTTCTGCTTTTGATACTAGCCACACCTAGAAGGGCTGAATCCTGAAGATCATTACTTAAGCAGGCCTTCTACAGTTATCAGTCTTTAGTAAGGCTGATTAAGGCTAGAAGATCTAGACCAAAGTCTTGGAGTACTCTGTAATTGAAAGAATTGCCACATACCATCAATGTGAGAGATGGGGATGCTGACATTATCAGAGTCCTGTTTAAACATGTTAACTTGGAGCATACTCGCCTCCTGAACAAGGTCTGCTGCTTTATCTGTATATGGATAGGGATTTGTCACCAGTTTCAACAGGATCTGTTAACAAAGAGAGAGAAACATAAGCACACAGGCTAAGTCCACAAAAAGTCTTGTTAAGAAAAACTATGGGTTAAAAGTGCTTGAAAGGTCAACTCCCACGTGCTTCTGCAGGAATCTGCCTGTGATTACCACTGTACGTGGGACTGCACTGCGCCTGATGGAAACAAGAAATATCCTCTGCAATTTTGCAATCAAAGTACCACAGTCTGAGTCCCTGGGGAAACTGCAATGAAAAGGAAGCTCTGGGCATTTAACATCCTGAAAAGTAAACAGGAAACATCAACTTTTCTTGTAAAAGATTACAATTCACTTAGGTCTGATAATTTCTGCAGATAGCATTACACAGAAGAGAACAGATAAGAGTTATTCCCCCCACATTCATTGTTGATACTCTCCTATCAATAATGCTGTAATATCAACTTATTTTTCTTAATTTAACTTTCCTCCAAACCTATTCAGCCTCCTCCTACCTAAGACAACAAAGATACCAGCTCTGTATAAAGAATCACAACCACTGCCTTTCTCAGAATTCATTCACCAATCTCTGAGATTTCTCAGCAACAGAATAATGAGTTTCCATTAATGCTATTCTCAGCATTGTTTATCCAGCTAATTTGAACAGTTGTTACCCTTTCCAAAAATTGAATCACTGCTTCCTTTTTGTCTTCTTCTGTATTATCTAAGTGTTCCAGCCAAATTGAAAGTTCCTTCCACGTGTACTCAAACACTCCGCTGTCATGTAAAACCTGTCCAGAAAAAACAGAGGGGGGTAAAAAAAAATAATGAATAAATACAGATCCTTTTGTAGAGCAACTTCATGTTTTCTTCACACACAAAACCAAGGTCAAGGTTTTCTGGACACAGAGGATTGGTTGCCTCCACTTTAGTAAATCTTGTTCTTGCTATTTCAGGAGAGTCAGCTTTAAGGGGGTTGTACTTCCCCAAGGCCATACAGTGGCATTACAAGAAGTTAAAAATAAAAATTAAAAAAAAAAAAAAAAAATGGACTGACTCATAAAAACAGCCTGTTGAGGGGGGCTTGACAACTACTGATGTAATTAAATGAAAATCACTGCTAAATTAAACCAAAAATCAGCCTATGCTTCAAAGAGTTGCACAGATGGGAAAATAGAAGGAAAATGAACTGCAGGCCAGGCCCACTGTTTACACATCAGAATAAACATAGCCATAGGAGGGATGGATGGGGAAGTAAGCACAATTTTACCACAATATCAACAGACTTTGAAGATTTTTACTCACTTCTATTGTACCTAATTGAGGCCCTTATCTGAGACACTTAAATTAGGAACTCGGTGACCCTATGCTCCATCTGTGAGAGAAAGGAAAGAGGAGGAATGGCTGTCCAAAGAACAACCCAGACAGCAGACCATTTGAACGGCGCAATGGTGACACTGCCTGTCCCCCACCCTCAGCAACAGATGAAACCCTGGCCAGTTTCCTAACTCTGGCACCTACACTTGAATGCCTGAACTTACGTGGGATGAATTCATGCCTTTGTTCCTCCCCTTACTCAAAACACAAAGAAAGCTATCAGAGCTCATTTGCTCAATATTTACGCTGTGTATGCCACCGGCAGCTATAAAAATAACACTACTGCTTACTTGAAACTGTCAGGATAATTCATTTAATGAAGAAAAAAAGGTCCATTTTTAAGTAATTCACTATTTTTGGCAATGTCTCAAAATAGAAATGCACTTGCAGCTTTCATGAAAACAGGCAGGAACAGAACGTGAAATCCAAAAATACGCCTTCTAATTGTAGGGCACAGTGTTGAAAAATAAGCAAAACACACTCATTAGCATCTATTTTTAGCAGCCTTTCTGCTGATATAACTGCCCTAGCTTCACTGCTTGTCTTCTCTTCAGAGAAAATGAAATGGACTGAATATAAAAGAGGAAACAAAAATGAGTCAGGCAACCCACGTCTCCACTTGGCAGAAGAACCCAAATACACTAGAAAAACTGCACTGGGTAGATTTTGATTGAGATATTCATTACCGTGAGACAAAGTTAACCTGCCTTTAATCCCATGCAGCATTCAAGGGCAACTATAAACCTAATTCAACCAGCGTAACTTTAGGTTAGTGGACTGAACATAACAACTGCACCTTCAGATGGACACTAAATGTCAAATTTAAGTACATAAAGTTGTCTACACAAACTTGTATGCCACTAGAGCTATGGGATACTGCACAAGGAGCCCTAGTGAGAGCCTAGAACACTTTTCTATGTCTGTCCTTGGAGGTAAAGGAGGGTTGTCACGTGAAATTTATTTTTAATGTAGGTTTACATCCCTATTTAGATAACTAAAAGATGTTCAGTTTAAAAAAAATACATTATAAAAAAAAAAAACAAACAGCTGTTGCTGCCTTGTTGAGATTTGTAGTTGAGGAGCATTTCTGAGAAGTCAGATCCTTCTTAAATGCACCAAAGCAGATTTTAATTCAAATTGAGACAAAAGAATTCCTTGAATCAGAGCTTCTGCCTAAATGCAACACAGGTGATTTTCCAAAGGCAGGGTGAACTAGCTACATGTAAGGATTTAGGAAGAAGGACAAAGTACAGATTAAATAAATCAGGATAAAAAGAACAAAACTGCTCTTTGTTTGATCAAATGAGCATTGCAGACACAAATTATATCATTTTATCGAAGCAGAATGTTTAATAGAGCCTAGGTGGTGAGCAAACATTGAAGACATTTTTCCTACTATTTTAGCAGTTGTTGTGAATCCAGTTGATAGCATTTATTCCCACCAAGTATTCAGCTAACAGGTAGTTAGCTTAAAGCAATTTCCAAGAAAAGTCAGAGAAAGCAGAAAGAAGTCTGTTAGCCAGACAAGTATGCAGCGAAGGCTTAAGGAAGAGTTTTTGGAATCCTGAAGTTTCAGACCAATGGAATACAGTAAACATCTTGATATTTCAGATCAAACACTTACCTTGATGATCAGTTTTTTCGTTGAAATTTTTAGATAAGAATGGTTACTTGTAACAAACATTTTCATCAGTAAATAAAATACTGATTTTTCACCAGCTGTCTTCTCTGTGTCAGAGACATCCTAAAAGAGAAAAAATTAAAGCTTCTCAGCAACACTGTACCAAATTACATTGCACTGAGGCAGATACGTAAGTGAAGTGTATTATTTTACAGACATACCCAAAAAATACCAAGGCCAGAAATTAATGGGATGACTGCATTCAATGAACAAAGAAGACACATATGATGGGCTTTTTTGGTAAACCAAAAAAGAGAGAAGTAGCAGAAACACCAGCTAATACAAGGATCCCAGATGAAAATACTTCCATTCCTCTGCAATCATTCATTCTATTTGACTTCATTGTCTCCAGGAGCTCAGCTTTCCTACAAGTACTGTCTGAGTAAGTAATCATTTAAGAGACTGAATTTGATTCTCAAAGAAAGGAAAGCTATATGATTCAAAGGGATACTGAACATCAAACCACAATCTTCCAGTTATTTCCCCCACTTTTCTAACTGACTTGTATTTGATACGTAAGAACTGTTACCCTTTGTAACACTATCAGATTTGGCTTTTATCTATTCTGTGGAAAAATAAGTATACTAGAATGCCAAAGCCAGAAGAAAATACTTCAGCTTTTTGACTGTTTCCAGAGTTTTTCACTGCTTCTTCTTCACTCTCCTTGCTTCTCCTTTACGACCAATTGGATAAGGACAGAAAATCTCTAACAAGGCAGGATTGCAGTCACAATATTCAAAGGTTCCTCTGCTTCCTCTCAAAGGTAGGCTCAACTCCTTTCTCCAGACATCTAAAGCAGGCTCTCTGAAGCTCTTCAATTTTACAGGTATAAAGTAAAGAACAGGGGCTCTGAAATTTCTATTAATTACAGAGAAGGGGGATAGCCTTATTCAACATCAGAATCATCACTGGGAATAAGAGTAATGTCTCCCCACAGTGGTTCATTTCCTTGATCTGAATTCTCAGCCTTTCTGAACAAGTAGAAACAAGAAAATTCTCTCTTGCCCTCAGCAAGAGCTGAAGAAACCCTGTCCAGCCCTCTTTATGGAGACAAAAGTTAATGTAACTGCATAAAACTTTTTCAGCTCAGAAAAAAATCTTTACTAACACTCTGATTATAATCCCTATCTGTTTTATAAAAGCATCATCATCTAAGAACTGGACTGGGACTAATTTAGAAGCAAGCAGTGATAGAATTGATGACAGTGGGCTAAAGGTGCCTAAAACCGCTTTAAAGTTTCTTACCTGTACTCTGAACCAGGCAAATTTATTTGCAGGAAGCTCCAAAGCAACTTTCAGTACATGATACTGCAGAACATGGGGGACCTCCTCTCGGAGGCCCTGCTCGGTGACAATACCTGAGGTTTGAAGGTAACACAATTAACTTTACTTCTGAGTATCTCACTGAGATCATCAGAACAGTCATCTAGGGCTTCAAAACATCACTGCAATAAAGAGGCAATTCGTAAGTTTCCAGACGATGAGACCTACATGCAAACACAAAATGTCCGGCCTATCTAAAGCTGAAACCCAGCACAGATTGCACGCCTCCTCCTGTCTCCAGCACAATCTATTGCTGTTGCATGGGAATACATAATCTCTTCTACCAGTCTCAGCTACTCTGAAAATGTGTGACCTATAGGACATCAAGACTACAGATGAATCAGAGATCAAAATGTAGATTTTAAGTCAATAACAAATCTTAATTACGTTGCTTATTACAGGTCACAGAACCCTGCATTCATGTCTCTTCCTACACTTCTTTAGTCACTGCTCACAAAGACTGCAATAGCATAGCCTCAGAACTATTCACCTTAAAGGTCAGAAAGTCATGCAGAGACCCTTGCAGCATGCTCCAAAAGTTAACCTGCCCATACCTAAGCTGCACTCTAATATCAGTTGTACAAAGCTTTGGTGTCAGCGTGCATTTCATCATCTGTATTGCATGTTCATGGCCCAAACTAGAAAGAGACAATAGATTTTAAAAGCCAGCACCACGGCAGAGTCTACCCAACAGCAAGACAAATAGAATGGTATGAGCTCTTTAAATCACATACTACAAAGTAGAAAACCAGGCTGCCTTTGGAATGTATGTTTCAACCAGGGTGAGGGGAAGAAACAACAGAACTCTTAGGCTGGAACCCAAGGGAGGGAAGTTTAATGATTAATTTACACCACTGACTACCTTATCCTCTTTCAACAAAATGAATATCCAAGCTCCCTTCTGAGAAAGATGGTTTATTTTACAGCTCTATTATTTTATTATTAACAAAACATACCATCAAAGATATCTGCCTCATAAAAATGTGTCCTGCATTCTACCCACTTCAAAAAACAGCAGACTAAATCAAGAAATAATGGAACAAAAAGGATTTGTAATGTGGTATGACAGTTGATTTGAGGGGATGTTATTTTGTTGTTCACTTAAATTCTTTTTCTTCTAACAGACTTTAGTTATAGCTTTTAGGTAACTCCCATTCTCATACATTCCAGAACTTGAACAATTGTTTTAGCTTGGTGGCCTATTAGCTTTGCTGGCCCACAGACAGCAACAATGCCCAAACAACAATTCGCTCTTTTCTCCAGTCTCAGTTTTAAATGGCTATATTTATTGTACCATAAAGCAGGACACAGCCCTTGTGTGCAAATCCCTTAAGTACACAAACACACAAAGAAGACTGTAGTGCAATCTACTACTTAAAATAACTGAGAGTAGCAGAAACAATGAGCGTCAATGCAATGAAGAAATTGAAATGAGTTTCTCATGAAAAACTTTCTCCTTCTGCCCACAAAGTAAATATTCCCTTCTGCTGTAGACTTTACAAGTAGCCAGAGAAAGCAACAAGGTAAAAGAAACACACATCACCTACCTTTCAGCAGCTTGCTAAAATCAAAGTTGCTCCGTGCTACCAAGTGGGGCACAACCTTCTGATAAAGACAAATGACCTGAAGCAATGCAGCTTTCAGAAACAGCGTCTCAGCATCATCCGAGCCTAAACCAAGTGTTGGGACAATAATTAGTTTCTCCTTCCTTCACATCAAGAAAGTACAGCATAGCACCTACATTATCCATTATGATGGCAATTAATAATGGTTTACTAATTGTAAACGCCATTACTGATTATGCTAATTACTATTTCCAATAGATGTGCCTACAAACTGATCAGTTACCTTCTTACTAACAAGAAACAGAAAAAAAAACCCAAATTCAACACATTATGGAATCCTATTTCCCAGTATTCCTGTTTGAATATTTTTTAAATTACCTCAGCTTATTCAGTGCCTATTTTTAAGTAGGTTCTGAAGTGCTCACACCTTTGACAGCCTCACCATTTCAACAACCTCTACAAGAACCCAGTCATTGCCATTGCTGTTCAGTTTGAAAGTGAAAAAACAGGGGAAAAAAAAGCGAGGGAAGGGATGGTCAGGCTGCTGATTTCAGGGGACACTATTTTAACATAATGTCAAGTAGGTTTAAGTGAGGTAGGGTACAAGCCATACACTAATTTATCAGTCCAATTAGAGGTTTCTTCCTTTTCTTTCCGTCTTTCAAAACAATGCTTTCTCAAATTGTCCAAACTCTACTAAGGGAGCCATTTACATCTTGAGAGAAGTTATTTCAGTAGCTAAGTATTCTTTTAGTTCATAATGCGAGGATGCATAAAAGCTATTTCTACCCAGTCACTAATGAAAGGAAGCAAAATAAATGAAGGGCAGCCACACTTTTAAAAACAATTATTTTTTCTTGCTAACTGGCTCTCCCTCAGGGAGTCATGAAGAACTGGACAGATGCCATGCATAAATGTTGTCACTGTTTGCCCAAGTCTCAACATTCAGAAAAAGTTGCCATAGTGCAAATAAAGCTGCAAATGGTAAGCTGAGGATACTATCATTCTAGCAGGAAGAGAAACTAAACCTACATTTCTTTAAAAGAAATGGTTGCTCCACAGTTTTAGCAGGCACTCTACCAGTAAAAAGCCTTGCAGTGTCAGCACTGAGGAATAATTTACTGCCAAAATCACAAACAGAAGGACAGACTTTGAAGAATTCTCTGCTACAGAAAGTCTCAGTGTGGAATATTCCCTGTCATGAGCACAAAGCCGTCTGTAGATTTTCAGTCTTAGTAAACCACTGTAGGCTGCTAGCCAAGCTACAGAAGAGCACTAGAAATTTCAGTTTCCTGGAACGGGATTATGAAGTCATTTAGTAAGTCCTTTAGTCAGGACAATGCTTTGTGAGAATAAAACCAAAGCCTCCAACTCCAGCACTCTGTCCCTCTTCTAGCACTTAGGTATTTCCACTCCTCTGCTACACCAACACAAGCACTTATATAGCCACAGTAACCAACTGCTTCACAAAGACGTCCTCATGGCTAGATAACATGGCTAAACTGAAATCACTCAAAGTTATTTTTCCAAGCAGAACAGTTTCCCTGCCTGTTTTACTGTGTCACAGCAAAGCACAGGAGGTTTAAGGAAAGGAAGATTCTGTTCAGTATGGCAAGCTACAAAGTTCCGCATCTGGAGAAGAACAACCCCAAGTCCCAGGACAACACTGATAGTCACCCAGCTGGAAAGAAGCTTTCCAAAAAAGGACTTGTGGGTACTGCTGGTAGGAACTGGCTCAAAATGGGTCAGTATTATGTCTTTGCCACAAAGAAGGCATACGTTAGACAAAGTGATGCCAGCAAGTTGAGGAACTCCTTGTCTGTTCAAAACTGGTGAGGCCACACCTGAAGTGCTTTGTCTACTTCTGAGCTCCCCAAGGCAAAACAGACATGGAGCTACTCAAGACAGGACAAGAAAGAGCCACAAAGTCAACACCTCTCTCATAAGGAAAGGCTGAAAGAGCTGGGACTGTTTTGGCTAGTGAAGTATTCTTTCAGGGTACTCTGATCAGCGTACGTAAATACCTGCAGAGAGAATGCAAAACAGATGAAGCCAGGCTCATTTCTGTGGTGCTAAGTGGCAGGGCAAGACACAGAGGATGCAAACTGAAACAGAGCAGGCTGTCTGAACCTCAGGAAACAATCTTTCCATGAGGGTGACAGAGCACCAGCACGGGATGCCTAGTGGTTGTCAAGTCTTTTTGCAGATCTTCAAAAGCTGCCTGCACATGGGCCTGGGCACCCTGCTCTGGGTGCTCCTGCTCAAGCAGGGGGGTTAGACCAGATAATCTCCAGAGGTCCCTCTAAATCTCAGCCATTCTGTGATGCTGCAGCAGCAGGGAGACACACTGCTTAACTTCATAGTAACAATGCCAGCCTTAACATCAGACTGTGCCCTGGGCATCTCTGATAACAGTCAGAATTAAACTGCCTGAAGAACCGGCCAAAGTAAAGCTGCGTAGTAAATGCATGGGACTCTAATGAAGTTAACTTCCTTAAATTAGAGGAGGATTTCACAATACCCACACATAGGTAAGGTGTGATGACTTCACCTGCTTTGCCTACCATGTTGTTCAGCAACTTCTGCCATCTCAGTCGTTTCCTCTACAGTGGACACAGCAGTTTCATTCTTTTCCTCTTGTCCATCTTGGTTTTCCTTCCCTTGCTTCAGAAGAGACTGCCAAACAGCTACTATGTTGTTCATGTCTGGTAAAAGCTAGAAGCAAAAGGACTAAATTGCATTAGCTCGCCTGTATGAGTCAAAGTCACTCCAATGCAAATATTCAAAACCAACCAACGTGACAATTTGCTGCTCTTCGTAAGTCACAAACTGACTGATGTACCATGCAATCCAAAAAAAAAAAAAGATCTGAAACCAAATAGTCCACAAATCTACAGAACATAAATATATGAGAGAAAAATTTTATTGAAGAAGATTCTTGTTAAAAAAATTTAGGTTCGTTCTTTCTTCTTGATGGTCTATTATCAACCCAAATGCTACCTTGTCTAGTAACTTCTAATTCTGAATTAGCTACACTGGCTTCAGTTTACTCAAAACCTGGGGAATTTGATTCCCGAGTCCAACTCCTCTTGGAACATGTTTGTTGCACAATAACTGCCAGTGTTGCATATGTCTGACAATAAAAGGTTATTCACATTTCCATCAGCCAGCTTTATTAGAAAATGTAGTCCACTATGGCATTAAGTTATTAAGACCTTTTAAAGCACAGCTTCCTCCCCTGCTGAAAGACATTATCTCCTCATTCCCAAGCCATAACCACTAAGGAAGAAAGCGCACAGGAGTAGTTACATGCCACAGAATGACTCTTAGACTTCAATTGTCTTCCCACTTTGTACCTTGCTGACGGCTTCTCTGTACAGCTGCACAAATTCCTGCATCACTGACAGTGAGTAGATTTCTGACTTTTGCCAAGTCTCTTCATTCAAGCAGTACTCAATATTCTTCAAGGCTCTTTTCAGGACGCTTGACACAAGCGATAGTATGCTGTGCTTCACTACTTTGCTTGGTAACTATAAGTGCAAAATTGCATTAATGACATTTCAGTGCTTTCTCTTATTGCTTTGAATATGCTCTGTACTCTGAATATATGTAAACAGTTGCTAACAAATGAATTACTTTTTAAATTTTACATTGCAGAAGAGAACCCACAGGTTTTCAGATTCCGAGCCCAAACTGTTAATAAGCATTGGAAAAACTGGTGCTTGCAAATACCTACCAGAAGCACTACCAACAGGTTTTAACTGATGCTCCCATGCTTCCCCACACCAGCTTTATGCTGGAATGGACAATATAAAACACATAACCAACTTAAGAACCTTCTTGGGTGATCACAAACTTTAACAAAACAGCACTAACTAGGACAGAAGAACGCACTAAAAATAAACTGCTCTTACATTTAGCCCTTGGGTGAACATCATTTTATTGCACACTGCAGGGACTGTTGTTACCATCACCATAGAAAGCAACCTTGGGAGAGGAATAAACTCTGAAGTCTTAAAAGAATTGGAAATCTCTGGCTGAGCCTCATAGATCTGAAATAAAAATAACAATTCAATCAAAATTGACAGTCAGGGAGTTAGCAGCTTCTTCTGAGGAACAATTTACAGAAGAGTTTTAACTTTTCAAAAGCAATGACAGCACTAAATGTCCAATTTTACACAGGAACGCTACAGAACATCCCCCCAGACTCCTATTCAATTAAATGAAACATTTGTATATATTTGCAGCCCTGCTAAAAGCCACTGCTTTTCAAGACTTTATATCTGCTTCTTGCTAATTTTAAGCTAAAGCACAGTGACCAAGGAAAACTTAGGAAGGACAAAAGGTTTTTCTAGTTGAGCTTCTGAAATGCCATATCTTAAAAACTGTATTATCAACATGATGTTTCCTACAACATCTTACACCAATTCCTTCTTTCCTGGTTTAGCTAAATGTTTATACAGCTTCCTGCTCTGAGAACGGCTTTTTTAGCAAGTGACCTTCCAACTCTGTCCACACTTGTTAAAACAACTGAGGCTCTGAGTCATTTCATTTTCCTCAGCACTCACAGAAAATATCCCCCTCTCCTTTTACTAACTTCAAAATTTAACAGCACCCTGTTTCTTCTTCCCTAACATACCTACAGGAATTGATAGTTATTTCAGAGCAATTAAGTCCTTCCTGCTTAAGTCACTTAAACCTTCATCATCTAACTTCCTCACTGCTAGTTTAAAACCATTACTTATGAAATTCTGTGTCTGTCTGCCTTTTTAGTGATTTTAATAAACCCTATAATAATATAAATAATAAACCCTATAATAATATAATAAAATGCTGTCATTTACAGCTGTGAACAAAATTAGTCTTCAGATATGTGAGTTCCTTCCAATACAGAACATCTGCCTGTGTAACAAAGAACTCTGCTCCCTGATCTCCAATTTATTTCCTCACTCATTTCAATGAAATCTTATTACTCCTCACTAGGAAGATTTTGTCCAAGTTCAAAAATTCAGTTTACATCTAACATGACCACACTACAAGCTGACTGGATCCTGTACTGCAGCAGCACCTGAACTGTAATAAAGTTTACACAACAATGGCAGAACATGTAAGGTCTTATAACCTCCTTCTGTAACAGCAACAAAGGCAAGTTTCCCAATCAAAGATCCTTTGCTTTTCTCTAGTTTAGGAATATACCAGAACTACTTCAATTTTTGGTGAGGGAAGAGAAAAAAAAAAAGAATATTGGACTTGCATTTCTATGTAGAAGCAGTGTGCATGATTCATACTTTTACCTTTTTGAGTAACTTCATATTGTCCGCCCAAGCTGACTTCACTCTAGGAACAAAGGAATACTGGGTTTCCTTGAAGTATCTATTCAGTAGATCTGGACATACTTTAAGAATATTCACCACGAGATCAGCAACCATTTCATCCTCTGTTGCAGTTTTTAAACCAAGCAGAAAGCGCAGAAGGACTATATTTCCTCCCCTATTGAAGAAAAAAAAAAAAAAAAGCTTTAAGAAAAAAGAAATCCCTACTTCAATACTTCACATGTAATTTTAACTCTGCAGCTCCTCATGAATACTGCAATGCAAAGAGTTACACTTCCTCCGACACTGGGGAAAATCCAAGGCAAGACACCTGAAACTGTTAATATAATTTCTGAGTTTCTACTGAGAAAATTAAGAACTGAATTTACCTCCAATTTACTTTTTTTGCCTCATCAATAGTTACTACTTCTACTTAAAACCACAATGTTTCAGGATACTCTAACCAAACTTCACCAAGCTGAGGATACAGAATTACAGCTTAATATTAAATCCGGAAGCATCACACAGTCTTTCAGTCCTGCCTGCCCGCGCCCCAGCAACCCTTTTTTTTTTCCTTCTTTACCTGTAAAGAAATGTTTCCAGATGTGTTGGTGTTACAGACCAAATTCTGGCATTACTGTAATCAACAGTGACGTTTTGCCAAAATTTGAGATAAACAACAGCTGATTCTACCAGTAGTAAATTATTTTTACCATTATCTGGTATACACCACAGCCTTAGTGTCTTATTCTCACATCCAAAATGATATCTTACAGTAACAGACTAGGTATGTAGTTATTAATGGAAATGGCTCAGAATAACAGCAGCACTACCTCCACTCCCTAGGAATACAGCAGAGCACTCTCCAGTAGGCAGAGGTATAAGGGAATCCAACAGCTTGATTTTGGGAAGTTAAAAACAAAACAAAAAAAGCAGCAATGAATTTCTCTCTTCTGCCATAAGTTACTGAGACAGAAGCAGAATTCAGCAATGTTAACTTGCAAAGGCCTGGAAAGGCAGACAAGATAACTAGTGAGATCTATCTTGCTATAGCATGAAGTACACACAGGGCATTCAACTCACTGGCAACCTACCTGCCAGAAGTTCCAAGACTTGGATCATAGAAAGTAATGCCATGTTTCAGAGAGCAGCAGAGGTCCATTAAGAAATTATGAACAAGTTCTCGTACCATTGCCTTTCCCACCTCTTCAGAACCTTGAGTTACCTATAAGAATCAAGAGGGAGTTAAAAATGACATGATTTTTAGTAAAGAAGAAAATCTTACAGCAATTTCTCTCTTTTCTAAGTTTCATAGAGCTCCTTTCATATAGAAATATCAAAAGAAAGTTTGGTTTGGGTTTACACTAAGAAGCTTCAGTATTAAACATGTTAAATATTAAGCTATTTTGTTTTAAAGGAAAGAAAACACCCTAAACTTATATGTATATGTACTATGCGCAGGGCATTGCTGACCTAAGACTTTTCGTTCAGAAGCCAGACAAAACAGCAAAGCTAAAGAAAAGTAGCAATACATGATTTATGTAAACTGGGGCGAGGCTATCCTGGGACTCTGGAGAATAAGAACTAAAATTTAATCTGAAAGAAAAAACTTTCAGTCTGATGGTGCAGCTTCTGTCTGAAGAAGTTCCAAAAGGCTAAAACAAAAGACATCTAAGCCTTCAGCATAAAGCATATGAAAAAAGCAAGCATATGTTCTTTGGGCAAATTTGGCACAAGATGGAACAGCTTTAACATAGGACAAGAAAGATGGGTAGCTAACACTACACTGAACTTGTCAATATTACAGGGAAAGGAAGTGGGGAAGTGGGGTATGAATGTACAATCATCATACAAAAAAAATGGAAGAATTTATTGAATATCTGTATCAATCAAAGAAATGGAGAAAAGAAAAAAAAAAAGTGAACCCCTATTCCATTCATCTTTTACATTCAAGACAATGCAATATTCCCATAAATGAGCCTTTGACAATTGCAGTTGGGAATTTGTATAATCAGTGAATATATAGATGTTATAATTATGAAATAAACAACAAAGCCTGGCTAAGCAGGTTATTATATCAAAAAGGGAATAAATAAGAGCGCTTACCCTTGCCTTGAGCTTACTATGAAACTCCAGAGGAGGGATCTCCAGAAGAGATCCTTCCCCACTGGTATTCAGCTCTTAATTGGGGTCTAGGAGAGGTGCAGCCAGGCTCCACCCCTTCCAGCAGCACAGGTGAATTGCCTTCAGCTGTGCTCCCATGCCTGACTCATGGCTCACTTCAGGTGGTCAATCAGAGGTTCAGGCTGTGACTCAGCAGTTCCCATACCAGAATTGTTGTTGATAATTGTAACTGATAATTATAATTACTCCAAAATATTATAATTATTCCAAAAAGTTGTTAACAACATATCAACATTGGAATGGCATAAGTATAAACATCCAGTAGAGGACGTACAAGAAAGCAGTCGTTCAGTGTTGTAAGATTTGATGAAGAAAGGTTTCTAAAGATCAAGTGATAATGAATACAGATGAAAAGACTGCAACCAAAACTCAATGCAAGCATAGAAAGTCTTCCTACTGCTCTCCATCAGGCTTATAGCTATGCCTTAGACAGTCCCACAACAAAAAGGTAAGAAAAAACCAAAAACTACAACATTAAGAAAAATAAAAAGGTAACCCATTCAAGTTACCAGACCTTGAAATCCTTAGAGCTGACATCAGTAATGCCATTCCATCGGTAAAGCGAAGCCACATGATTCAACACTTCTGCAGTGAAAAAGCGCACCTTCTGGGTTTTGGTAATATTTTTATTTTGAACCACCTGAAAACAGCGAGGGAAAAAAAATGAAAAAACAAAATGCCATCTCTTCCATTTATTTTAACAAAAACAATGGCAACTTAGCAACACACTTCAAAAAACCTCTCCTGCAAATAAGATTGGGCATTGTAACCTAGCTCATAGCCAACAAATCTAGAACTTCTTCATTTCAGCACGAGATGCACCCAGTGAAAGACGAATCCATTGTCACTGGAAGCATTAAGACTACAAGGTTTTCAACCGTCAGGCTTGGCACTGCTGCAATTGCAACCCAAAACGGTAGGAATCTGGTGGATAACACACTACAGATGAGCTGAAATTAGCATCTAAGTAGTAGTTATGCAAAAAGGCAGAAAACGAGACAAAACAGTTTCAAGGGTACACCATACCTTAGTTTTCAGTGTAGAGAGAAGTAGATTGACAGTAGAAACTTTGTCTTCCTTTATTCCAGAACGAAAAATATCTGGGATGAAATCTAAGAAGATATTGCAAATGTTTAGTGAAGATACGAAAGCTATTTTTATACTAAAACGCTTCAAGGAATTCATGTCAATTTCTCTTCCATGTCATACTATTGATTTTTCTGTTAAGAATGACCCAGAAAACTGCAACGAGTTCAAAAGGATGATATGTCTGTAACCAGTGATAAGTAATGCTGCCAAACCCATCTCAGCCTAACTAGCTAAACTGCCAACTCAGTTATTAACAATTCCTGCATCAGCATCTGTCAACTTCAAATATATTTCAGATCCCAATTTGATATGCATTGCTTCAATTTGAGTGAAAAATGGGGCACACAGGGTAGTGTAAACAATAGAAGTCAATAATTACAGCCTAGTTTCATGCCCTCACTGTGGGAACTGCTGCCAACTAATGAATATTTCTCGATCCTTTCTGAATTCTTTCATAATTGCACCAAAGGTCATAACTGGAATTATCACAAGCCACTGAAGTCAACACAAGTTTTACATTCAACTTCAGCACTTAAGGGACCAAGTTTTCATTGAGTGCCAATAGGATTTGTCTTTTAGGATCCTACTCTTTGTCAGGTGAGCTTGACCATCTTCTCTGAGAGACATGGGCTTCCACATAATGCCTTCATAAGGGATGCAAAGGGCATTACAGTGCTCTCCTGAATCACTGACAAAAAGCAGTCTAAGGGAGCACAAATGAGCTGTCCCGCACAACAACAGAAAGAAACTTGAAGTACATGCAGTCCTTTCCATTAGTGTTTTTCAGAAAACCTACTACTGTGTTAGGAACAAGCCCAGAAGACACATAGCTTTTTTTTTTGCTTACCAATTCTATTCTTTTTTACATCTGTTCCATCAAATACTTTCTATTTTTCTAAAGCTTTTGCAGATAAAAAAGACTACTCTCAAATAGAAGAGGCATTCTCTACAACACTGAAGAAGTTCACAGTTTTTCAGGAAAAAAAAATTAAAAATATGTTTTGTATCTTAATAGTGTTTATCTTGTTCATACTTTGAATTAGCTCTTACTTATTACCATCTTTGAAAGACTCTGTCTTAAAAAATATTCACAAGGGTGGATAGTGATGGGACAAGGGGGAATGGTTTTAAACTGAGACAGGGGAGGTTTAGGTTAGATATTAGGAGGAAGTTTTTCACACAGAGGGTGGTGAGGCACTGGAACAGGTTGCCCAAGGAGGCTGTGGATGCCCCATCCCTGGAGGCATTCAAGGCCAGGCTGGATGTGGCTCTGGGCAGCCTGGTCTGGTGGTTGGCGACCCTGCACACAGCAGGGGGTTGAAACTGGATGATCATTGTGGTTCTTGTCAACCCAGGCCATTCTATGATATATACACACAAAAGCAATTATGAAGTACCTTTTAATTCCAGCACTTGCATCAAAACTGCAGTGTCACCAGCTATTAAAAAGGAGAGAGCAAACTGAATATAGGCCATACGGACATCAGGTCTCCCCTGTGAGAAAGATAAAATGCAGCATTGACAGAGACTGTATACAACTGCAACAATTGATTATCATTGTAAGTACTATAAATGGATAAATTAAGCAGCTTCCACAGGCAGATTACATACAGCTACACACATGCATTTATATGCAATACATCCACAGTACATGTAAATTTTAAAAACTTTGTGGATTAAGCAGGTTCATTCAAGTTCAAATCAAATATGAAAGCATCTGTTTCACTTCTGAATAGATGAGACAGGCTATAAATTAAAAAGAAGAAACAGTATTTCCAAGCCAAACCTTGTATTCACATCACTGAACATCCACTTCTGCGCTGCTTGGTACACAGGCAAATAGTTATGAACACCAATGACAGCAGTGCTGCTGCTTCCAGAGCTGGGCTAATCCTGGGGGCTTCTGCCACTCATTGACACCTCTGGATACATTATACACACTCCTCAGCTATAACAGCTGCTAACAGCTGATAGCAGGGTCACACAGCTGAGACAGGCATTTCAATTTAAGGGGTGATGGCACACTCAAAGGCAATTTCTACAAAAAACATGAAATCTGCCATTCTCAAATATGTTTATATAAAAAGAAATCAAGTAATAGACAATCAACCAAACAAATCCTGAAAGAAAAATAAAATAAAATAAAAAAACAAACCACTTTTTCCCAGAAACTACCTTCTGCAGACTCATTTTTCACCAAATTACAAAAACTCAACAAAAACGTATTTATTCTGCACTGGTGTTGAAAATTATACTGAAATAGACTTATGTTTAGGATGAAATATAAATATTCTTGTTCTAAAACACTGGTTGATTATTTTTAGCAAATAGAAGAAACGAAAAAGAGTTCCTTTTGGAAAAGAGGACTGATTACTACTTATTCACATGTCCTCACTGGGATTTGCAAGAGACTGTCTTAAGTTCCTGGCTGTATTTCAAGCTTTATTACTCTGGTTACTGGGCAAAATCCCCTCTTCACTAAAACAACCACAGAACCTCCATTTATTTCACTGGTATCAAACAGCAATCCACACACACTGAAAAAATGCTCTTCACTTAAATCTGTCATAGAATACCTCAGGGTGCAAGCCATCGCCTCCTCAATTGCAGACACTCAACACATGCCCTGGGGGTTTCCCACCTAAGCAGATTGGAAACTCATGCCCTATGGACCAGCTCTGCTGCAAATTGAAACAACCAAGCAGTACGTCATCCTGACGCAGCACAAGAAGGAAGGGGTAAGTTTTTGCAGATGAAAATATGGCAAGAGACTTTATTTAAATACTTGGCAGAAGAAAACTGATAAAGTCAATATATAGCATTTCATGGTGCACACATAGACAGCTGTTCATTTTACCTTCTTGTCTCTTTTTTTCACTAATCCAGACAGAAATTTATTATTGAAGTCAAAATGGCTAAACACATCCCTTGCAGTATCTGGCCCCTGAGCCACCATTGCTGACAACAGGGTAAGGCACACTCGGCTCATCCTAAAAGGAAAGAGGAAAACATGCAGGTTATTTCCAGGATGACAAATGAAGAGATTAAATATAATAAAAGATGATTTTTAAATAAAATAAATTGTCCCATTCCACCTCCAAGAGCCATCAAAGCCTTCAGAATTTTCAGGCATGAAGTAGTCATCAGAGTAAGCCTCAACATGAGCAGTCAAGATAGCCATTAGCAAAGTATTCCCACTCATGCAAAGCTCTTGCTGCAGTCAACGACTGCAACGAATGTTGTGATTCTTGCTTACTGAGCAGTGGGAAAAATTGCCTAGAAAACTAGAAGAGAATTAAAAAACAACCAAAAGCATTACTCAGGCAGTGATAATGACAACAGGGTAGAGTAGAGGACAAAAGAAGGGAAAAGGGAATGTCTATTTATATCCTCAAATAAACTTTTCAGCATGGACAGTTTTGTTACTGAATAAAATATCACCACAAATTTTCAGTCTGCCCAATGCAGGTTCTAGAAGGATTTCTCCAAAAGCTGTAGTCTTTAAATTATTAAGAAGAAATACAGATCTTGCACAGTTTCAAAAATTATTTTACTATATATATACCCTCGCATATTTGGGATTTTATGGACAGTTAAAATGCTTGTTGCAGCAAGATCACCTCAGTGGTCTGGGAACCGTGGTCATGACCATGAACTGGAAGACAGAAAACACTTTTCTAATGCTGGCCTATACAAAGACCAAAAGGGTGGCCTTGGACAAGGCAACCCCTCGCTGCCTACTGTTCAGGGGTATGGAGCAAAATCTACTACTTATATCCCATCTGCCCCACATGCAAAGAACAGATGGAATGGTTGTTTAGATTGGGCCAGATAACAGGAACGCTCAAATCAGCCTTAGATATAAAGGACAAAAAAGATTACAGAGGAAAAAAAACAGTGTGAAAGGCCAAAAATACATCTGTTATAAAGATTCACAAACCTGGCAGCATTAAAATGGTAAGGCTGAAGATACCATCCATCTAACATCCCATCAAGACAGGCACAAACAAAGCAAACCACAGCTTCATACAAGTACCATACGGCATGAGATTGTGTATCATACTTCCACACTAAAGTGGAGCTTCCAATTTACAAAGGCTTCTACATGCAGCTGTTTTACAAACTGTAGAACAGTATCATTCGATAAAGGTAGATTGTTAGCAATAAGTTCAGTTGAATTTTGGACAGCCCCTTCGGATCAATTCAGAGCAACTGACAGAGATTGTCTGCAACAGAATAGAGAAGACTTACCTGTGATTTTCAGAATACAGTGCAGCATAGACCAATCTCATGTAGCTGTGAATCAACCTTTTGACTATGTTCGTTCCCACAACAGAAAAATGGGAGAGGTCACTGGCTGTCCTCAGTAAAATAGTTTCCAGGGCTTGAAAGATTAATATCATCTGTAAAAATGAAAAACGTGTTAGTATTTGCCAGTGTCAGGTAGGGCTTGAAACGATTAGCTGGGCAAACAGTAAAAAATGCAATTAAAGAAAAAAAAAAAAACAAACCTATCACAAGAGAAAAACTTGCAAATATGAAAGCAAAATTAACTTCTGAATTCTTTCCCAATTCAATACTTCCTTTTTAAAAGACTAGTTCTGAGGGCATTAATCTTCAAGGAAGTCCCTATAGAGGTACTACATGAAAGACTAACATGCCATAGAAGGGCAGCACACTGTTCGTTGATTTTTGTTGTTGTTGTTGTTTGTTTGGGTTTTTTTTTTACAGTTGTTAGACTGATGAAATTCAGCTGGAAAGCTGTGTCAGTGTGCTGACTGAAACAAAGGGCTCCTCCTCAGATGTGAATAGAGACCTACATGTGCATACATGATTTGTCAGTGTATGCACAACAGCCACTTCTGGGAACTCAGAAATTGACTGCAGTGTAAATCTTAGCACAGGCTGATGAATCTCAAAAGTCCTTTTTAAGCTGGAGGACAAGGCTGAGGTCCTTATGAACCAATACTGTAAAAGAGAACTGTTACTAAATGCGCTGTGAAACCTGCTTAAGAAAATCAATTGAGCTGCTCCAGTCTTTCAATGAACTCCTTCTGGATGAAGCCAGAATCCTTGTTGCATGGGGACTACATTCATTATTAGTTCATTGTATTAATTATTATTTTTATTCAATATTAGCCTCCGTAAGTAAAAGAATCTTGAAAATAGAATTTAACTGACCATGACTGCCGTAACAGAGGTTGTCATTTCTGTCATTTTTTGTAAAGACAACCTAATGCAAAGGCAGGTGCATGGCTATTAAAATGAACACTATCAGATTTTATGTTGAGAGCAGACTTAAGTCAAAAACAGCACCTGCTGTGAAAAGAACTTTCCAATTTGTTAGTTTCTTCAACATTTTTGTGGAAGAAAAATTGTTTCAGATAAGAAAAATGATGTCAACTTTAGCAGCAGCTTCTTGGAAATATTCATGTATCAGGGAGATGTCTAATTATATAAAAACCACTATTTCCATCAGACAAATTTTTTGTTTGTGTAATTGCCATTGGTCCCCTAATTAAATGGTAACATTTAAAGAGCTGTAACAGCCTGATTTTGGCTGGACTACTGGTTGTGCATTTTACCACCTCAGAGGGCAGTGAGGCACTGGCACAGCTGCCCAGAGAAGCTGCGGTGCCTCATCCCTGAAGGCATTCAAGGGCAGGTTGGATGGGGCCCTGGGCAGCCCAAGCTGGTGGGGGGCAGCCCTGCCTATGGCACGGGTTGGGACCAGGTGAGCTTTGAACTTCCTTTCAACACAAACCATTCTGCGATTCATTCCATGATCATTAAATACAGGAACATCTCTGCACTGGAAAGGGCTTCTCCTACTCGATGAATGCTTCTGCCACTGTACTTTCCAATAACATAGTTATTATCAGTTATTTATGCTGCCAAGCATTTCTTTGGCAGCTCTGCTCCCAGCCAGCTCAGACTGTAACCACACCAAAATACAAAACCCACGGAAGACTTACTTCACTTTCAGGCTTCTTCTCCCCATCCAGCAGCTTGAAAATTTCAGCACACTCCACCGAAATCTTTATGTACCCCTCCACGACATCATATATTTCGGCAGACGGCAGCGTTTTCGCCGTGGAGACGAAGGTCTCCAGACCTGCAAGAAGAGATTTCCACCTGGATGGAGCTACGCGGGGCGGGGGACGCGTGGTCCAAAGCGTGGGCAGCAACACGTGCCCCGAGCGGCGATCACCCCCAGCCCCTCTGCACAGCAGCCGGGCCGGCAGCACACGCCTTTATCCCACGGAGCCCACCGCCCGGCCCCTCCTCACCCTTTCTGGCAGTGGCAGGGTCCCGCAACAGCGCCTTGAAGCGGGCGCCGTTGAACTCCTCCTCCTTGCAGCGGGCTCGCTTGGCCGCCGGCGGGCCGGTCGTAGGCACACCGCGCCGCTTGGTCGCCATGCTGCTGTCACCGCCCCGGAAGCTGCGATGGCGGCCGCGCAGCGCCGCATCCCGGCAGGAAGCGGCGAGATCCTCCGCTGCACTGAGGGGAGCAGGGTGCGTGTTAATGCGTGAGGTACGGCGGCACTGAGGGGTAGTGGAAATAAATAACTGAGAGAAGGTGGAGTTAGAAGGCAAGCCTGATTTCTATAATAATACCATATTTCTAGGAACATCCAGGAAAGAAATACTACCGCAAAATACATGCAAAAAATATTTTCAATTTTCATGGAATCATAGAATCACAGAATGGCCTGGGTTGACAAGGACCACAAAGATCATCCAGTTTCAACCCCCTGCTGTGTGCAGGGTCGCCAACCAGCAGACCAGGCTGCCCAGAGCCACATCCAGCCTGGCCTTGAATGCCTCCAGGCATGGGGCATCCACAGCCTCCTTGGGCAACCTGTTCCAGTGCCTCACCACCTCTGTGTGAAAAACTTCCTCCTAATATCTAACCTAAACCTCCCCTGTCTCATTTTAAAACCATTCCCCTTGTCCTATCCACCCTTGTAAACAGCCGTTCCCCCTCCTGTTTATATGCTCCCTTCAAGTACTGGAAGACCGCAATGTAAATTACATCATTCTCTCCCCTCACAGCCTGAGTAGCTGTTGCAGGATTTAATGAAGATGGTAAGGAAGACTGTTAATTTCACTTCAAACCAGACTACTTCCAATATGTTGCCCTAGTGTACTTTGATCACTTACCCCTTCCTTTCTCTGCCACGATTATTACAATTTTCTACCCCAGAGCCTGCTTTTTGGCAAGCATCAATCGTGGAGGCCTGATCAGTGAATGAGACATCAGGCTCAGACAACGTTCATCTGCCCTGTTATGACTGCATTTTTAGAAGATGGAAGCAGCAAATGACTCAAGTATTAATTTCAGAGCTGCTCAGTTTTCAGTAAATTGAAATATATTCCTTTGATTCTTGCCAAGTGAACATGTAATCATATCCAAGATACACATTGCCCCTTTGGCATTTGCTAATCTGAAAAATAATTCCCAATCCCTCATGAGAACCTTAGCTCTTGCTCAAGATCAATGAACTCCAGATACAGAATTAATCAAGCCAAGTGACCCCCTCTTGCCTCAGCTATAATTCAACTTAAGAAGCATTTGCTGGCTTGAACAGTGCCTTGTGTAACAAGAACCTGCTCTGCAGTCCTGCTCAACTTGCCTCTTCTTCTCAAATTCGAGCATTATTCCTAGCTTAAGATCCTTTTTCATGCAATCTTGAATAGAAAATTAATTTTGTTAGATTCTCACTACTGGCTTCGCGAAGGTCTATCTTCAGGTTTCAGCCATAAATTCTCCTGTCCTGCTCAACCACCCAACCACCTTCAGCCTTTAGCCATAGCTCAGCAATATGTGCTATGCCAGACCTCAAGGTTAAGTTTGTTATTTTTAAGATATTTCTTAACCATGTCCTGGTGAACCTTTGCTAAGCTTATCCCGATCTCTTGGCCTGCAACTGTACACTGCAAATGAGTGACTATCTTTATGGATAGAGCAGGACTGCTGATAGAACCCAGGTCTAAACAGAGCCATATTTACAAACTTTACCTTTAAGAATACCAGTGTTTGGTTTGGCAGAGCCAAGAACAGCCCCTGTCAGGTACAGTACCTCTACAGTGCTACTGCTCTCAGTGGAGGACTTAACGACCATACACAAGCTGTCGTGCCCTACTTCACACTAACACTGGCCTAGAGCATGCAGGAAATGCAATAGTTTCTTATTAAAAAAATATATGTATATATCAATAAATGGAATTCATTTGATGCATAATTTCAGAAACCATTCTGAGGAACTGAGTTTCAGCAGATGTTATGTATATAAAATTGCTGCTCTGAATGCTCTGTCATGATTTAGAGAACTATTTCATTAAAAATAGTCTTTTTTTTCCTCTAAAATTTCAAGTTCTTGCAAACCTGAAGTGAAAGACACAACTGTTTAGCAGATCTGTTTAATCTGTGGCTTAAGATCACAGAGGGAGGGACAATGAATGCTGCTAAGAGGTTGGTTAAGCATCATGCCCCCTTCTTCAACAGTTCTGCATGAAGGGAATATTCCCAACACAGTCCAATGCCACCACTTCTTCTCTACCACCCTTCCACTGATCAGCTCAGGACCAATTCACGTATATGGAGTCAGAGAGATTACAGAGCTTGAATTACAAAAGTTTAGAAACAAGTGTTCTGGATGGCTCACCAGAATCAGGTTGGACTCAGGAGCTGCATGGATAGGCCGATCTGAGGTAAGAACCCTCATGAAACTGCCTCACAGGGCCAATGCCTCTTTGGCATAAGCAGTTACAGCAATTTAGTAAAACGTCTTTTGATCCTGAAGCTGAAAAACAAAATGTTCTCTCCTCCTCCAGTCTCTTAGTTATTTCAACCACAGCAGCACTTTTCTGAGTAGTTAAAGAAGTGCTTTTTAAAACCTGACTAATGACAGCTTATCTTCCCTACCATTACACTGGAGCCCTATCGATATCAAAGGACCCAACTTGCCTGCAGCGTCAGCAGCATGAACATGCATTAGCACCAGGCTTTTGAGCCAGGGCACAGGATGAGTCAGGAATCAAGCTGTTTTCCCAGATGCTGAAGATGGATGGAAAGATTGAATAAGAAGGAGGAGGATAGAAGAGGGGGAAGGACTGTGAGCAGGCTGATGTGAGCTACCATAACTGAAAGCAGCTATGGGTATCTACTCATACATACTGAAGAAATCCTTTATTTAGTTCAAGGTATAGAATGGGTCCTTTGGCACTGCAGGCTAGCTACAACCAGAGGCACAAAATGGATAGCTTCCATGAATACTGACATCTTTACCACCTTCCACTCATGGAACAATATTCAGCTATCATTACCCTGAGTTACTGTAACCATAAGCATGGAGAATCTCTTTAGAATTTACCATTGGACCCTTATAGTACTGCGAGGAAAAGCAAACAATTCTAAACTCTGCAATGTTATTTTCAAATTTTTGTATTTGTTTCTAATTCTGGGGTGCTCAGGTTGTGCTCAAGTTGAATTACTGCGAGGTCTTGATCTCAAAACTGTTAATTCTCACTGATTAGATACTGATAAGGGCTCATATTTTCTGAGATGTTCCCAGTTTAGCATGCCTTTGCATGCCTAACTTCAGTGACCTTGAGGACAGATTTTCAAAAGCTTTTGGAAAAGCCACCAATTTTTCATTGCTTTGACATTGATTCTGTGGCTGTAAAAAGCCGCTGTCTTGAATTTCAAGGACACAAAATCATTAGTCATTTTGGAAAATCTTAGCCTAAATACTTACTAAAGAAGAAACAGTGACAACACCAGCCAAAAGGCAGTCTCATAAACCCACAATAAGTCACTTTCACAAGTAAACAGGCTGTTTTCCAAGAATGGGGTCCACCCAGTTACTCTGTCCTGATGTCCTTCCCAAACTGAGAGGGAAAGCATATGACATCCTTTAGCCCATCCTTTAAGATCCTTTTTGGAAACCTACCAAGAATGACTCGTGCTTTTAGGGGGCATGATCAACAAAGCCCAGACCTTTTCCTTGGTGCATGTATTCCTCCTCTTGCTTAGATCTTTTTTTGTTGTTTTCAGCAGTAAACTCAGTGGGAAGGGGCATGCCTCTGAATTCATGTCTGTACGAGTACACTGGGTGAACTGCTAGAAAAATTAATCAGTGTACAGGAGAGATGCCAGTAAGACTGGCAGCATGGAGGAGGATGAGGGGCCGTGATCTTTCTGCTGCATGTGGTGAGAAGGTTGAGATGGACTTCAGATGAAATGAGACACGAGTTTATTGGTTTTATAAGTTTCGTGTGTTTCATCTTATTGCTTTTTTTGTGAAGTGGTCAGGATCTCTATGGTGCTGTGATTAGTTAGGTCGAGTGCTGACTCTGCAGGAAGTCTTATGACACAAAACTCATAACTTGTTATCTCTATCTGAGATAACTCAAAAAAAAAGGCAAAACATATCAAATAATTCCTCTACTTGTAAGCCTGCTGGGTGAAGTACTGTACTCTGTGTTCCTTCAAATTTCTACTGATATCTGTGGGAATGTTTCCTAACTATAGCACACAGTATTGATCCTCTCAAGATCAAATTGCTACACACTTGAACTCAAAAACTGTGGCACCCTTTGAGAACTCACAACATCCAAAACACACTTGCAGTTGAAATATGCAAGAGAAGCTTCCCTATCACTATTTTCATTCTTGTATCCATAGAAATAGAGGTTGAATAAGGAAAAATGTGATATGTTATTCTAAATAATCACCATATAGTGATTATTGTAAAGCATGTGCTTTGTTTTAACTGGTTGGACACTCATTTCCATAGAAACAGAGGGAGGGTAACAGCCCACTCATTTGAACTGTCTTGTAGATTTCATCTGTGTCAAAATGCAAGCATATAAAGCATTTTAAAATGTGTGAAAATCCTGGAGTTTTGTTCTTAGCTTTTTTCTTTTTTAATCTTTTCCCCCAAAATGCTGAAGAGACCATTAGTGAATTTTTTCTTGGACACTTTATTCTGGGAGAAGAAAATAAAAATGAAATATTTTAGTTCCTAAATCGACTGAAGAGTGGAGAGGAAGAAAAAGAGGTAAGGAGTTATGGGAGGAAAATAGTTATGTATATGAAAAAGTGTTTCATAGAAGTTGAAGGTAGTTCCAATCCAGCAAGAGCTACAGTTTTGCTACTGTGCTGTATATTTAGTTGTAATATTTTTTTCCTGATGGGAAATTTTAGGCCATCTAACTCAGCTTTAGCCTATGATTCCACATTGCAAGTTTATTTCTTGACAGCATGAATGTGATTTGAATTTCTGTACACTAGGCCATAACATGATTTTCTAATTGGCAGTTTGGCTGAAGTTCAGATAGAAATGATTAATATAGAGAAAAAAAGAACTCAAATTTTTGCTTTGCCCATACAAAACTTCAATGCAACAACACAGTTCCTGCATTTTTGACACTATAAAATGATTTCTTTCGTCCTCGAGTTCAAAAGAGAGAAACTTTTTGAAGAAGACATGCTGTCTGGTCTAGATTCTCACTTACAAGCTTTCATTTTGTCTTTGGTGAAAAATGGATCTCACTCCAGTTGCTCATAAGGAAAGGCCAAGGCTGATAAATTCTGTAATTCTGCATGCTGAACATGTCTGGATTAGTTATATTGTCTTTATATTGTATTCCAACTGCTGAGCTTTGCCAGCTTGTAGAAACTGTTTTAATGGCTATGGCATAGAAACAATTTTGCACATCAAGATAAATAATAATTTCTGCCTCTGTATCTCGGTGTTTCTCGGTGTTGTCTCTAAATTTACTATATAAGCCTTACCCCTAGAAAGGAATTGCAGGGATTGCAACAACAACAAAAATAAAAATTACAGATTAGAGATGACCATTGAATAACAAAGTATTCCCAGAGAGAGAGAGAAAGAGAAAGAGAAGAAAAGAATTGCCAATGCCATTTTACTTAAGACACATCTTCAATTCCTGCTGGCTGCAATATCCATCAGACACTCTCCTCCATAAGAAGACTTCCCCAAAAGAGGCAACTACATACAGGAGCACCTGACTGCCTCTTTTGTTGTTGTTCAGCCCTCACTGCCTCACCTCCTGGGAGGTTACCTACAACGTTTTTAACCTCTCCCAGTTCAGACATTCCACTTGAAAACTGACTTTGCCTTTGGGTCATATCTGAGCAGTGCCAAAAACATACCAGGCTCATTCCTGCCTCATGGATGGTCTCTTACTTACAGCACTACAGGGCTAGAAAAGGCAGTGTTGTCTCATTAGGAGGAGAAAGTCTATAGTTCTCATTAAGCAAACAATTCCACAGGATCTTCTGACTCAAAGCCTTGCAAGTATGAGTACAGGATGGTATTTCTCAATGATTTTTGATGTTTTATATATTCTTGTGCACTGGTTCTGCTTGTCACAAACCCTCTCCAACTCATACACAGCAAAGTGAATTACTATCACGGACAGTTATGTCTCATAGATTAGTGAGCAGTTCAGAGAGGAGGAGGTAACTTTTGTTAGAGCTATAGCAGGTAGAGCTATAGCCAGAATATGAGGTGTCTGTATTTCTCTATTGACTGTGAGGGTCTAAAGCCAAAGGTCATCTGACTTCACACACTTGAAGATACAGCAGGTATGTTGTTATGGTTGATGTGGCAGAGTCAAAGTTAGGGTAGACCAGTCCACCTCAGTCACCTAGACATTTTTGTAGAAAATCTAAGCACAGTTCCCAAGTACTTCCTCTTACTAAGGGATATAAATACACACTACTTTTAATGTTTCCTTGGTATTCATCTCTACCTTCAGTGGAACTGACTTCTGACAGCAGGTGCATGAAGCATCTGATTAAATGACTCGGCGTAACAAGATCAAGAGGAAAAAAAAAAAAAAAGAGGGAAGTATACAGGAGTGTCCCATAGCTTTGTACCTAATATAATGGTTACAAGAGATGGGGAAGGTGTTTCAGCTCAGAGGGAAATACAGTCCTCACCTGAAGCAGCTGAGAGGAAGAACTTCATACTTCTACAGAGCTAGTCCTCTCTTCCCATCTGTTTGCAGTTGCAGCTTCTCTAAAATTATCCAATTTTCTCCTGTTTTTCAGCATCTTTTATCCCATTTTCTTCTGAGTTTAGTAAAACTTGATGGGATGTTCCTGATCTCAGCCAGGATTATAATTTGCTATTATCTGGCCATCCAAAGGAAGAATGAGCATCCTACTCAAGCTATCCAGTTGTTATTCTGCATGTGAAGAGGGAGAGGCTGAGGAAAGAAAGTGAATTCAGATGTAAACATGGTCAAAGTTCAGCATGACTTCCAGAAAGAGATGCCAAAGTTAGGAAATTGAAATCTGGACGTGATCCAGCTTCAGTTGGACCAGGAGGAGAGGAATGGTTTTAACAGAATCTGTTTGGTGTAATCATTTCTTACTTACTCACTTACTTGTGTCATTTCTGGAGGAAGCAGATGAGTAAACAGGTTGCCCAGAGAGGTGATGGATGCTCTGTCCCTGGAGATAATCAAGGTCAGGCTGGGCAATGCTCTGATCTAGCTGTAGGTGTCTCTGATCACTGTGGGGGAGTTGGACTAGATGGCTTTTAAAGATCCTTTATAACTCAGAAGATTACATGGTGATTCTATGAAGAGCATAAACACACATACCTAACATAACATAGGCTGTCAGCATGTAGATATCCTTGCCTACCTGCTTTACACCCAAGCACAGCCCCCGGGGTAGGGGATGTTTCCATGCCCATTTCCAGTGCTGCCTCTAGGTTCTCTTGCCCCTTTTGCCGCTCATGTGTTAAAAGGAGCTGCAAACCACATGCGAAGCTGGCTAAGCAGGTAATTTGTAAAAGGAATTTGTTTTAACTTCCCACTGGTTTACTTTCCAGTCTTACAAAATAGATCTCAAGGAACAACTTGAACCCTCTCAAAACAACTTCAAAATGTTTTCTCACCTTGCAGTGAAAGCCTTAAGCAATGCTACACACTTCAAACTCAGCTGTGCTGGACTACACGGCTCTTTAAGCTAAGGGCTGGGGTAAGGGACTGTCAGACAGCAACATGAGGGGAAGAAATGGAGAAGGAGATGTGGTGGTCTTGAGAGATAATGATTTAGTGGAGGGTTGCTAGAGTTAGGGTAGTATGGTTAGGTTGTGGTTAGACTTAATGATCTTTAAGGTCTTTTCCAACCAGAGCAATTCTATGATTCTATGATTCTTTTGCTTCTTAACGCAGCCCTTTGCTCACTGAAATCCCTCATCCTGGGAGCTTTGTTCTGCTAGCTGGGTTTCCCCCACACCTGCCAGCAGCCCTGGGGGGCTGAAGCTGGTCGGGCATGCAGGCCAAGACAGTGTGAGGAGGGTAAGTAGGAAGGAAGGGAATTTAGGAAGTTTGTGCCGTGGGAAGAGGGAGCGATGGGGAGCACCTTGCGTCTGTCCTGTGGGGGAAAAATAAAGGGATGGGGGGGGGAAGTATAGGGAACATAGAGAACGCAGCGGGGTAATGCTGTCACATGAGCCAGGGTGTGTGCGCAAGCCTGAGGCGGCCCTCCGACCACTGCCAAGCAGAAATGACGGGAGGGAAATAAGTTGAAAGCAAAGCGGTAAGCGCGGGGTGCGAAGGCGGAACGCTGCCATTTAGCCAAGAGGGAGGCGCCGGGCCCGAGAACTGCCCGGAGAGGGGTGGAGAGAGCCGGGGGAGGGCGGGCGAGGTGCACCGGGACTGAGTCAGCCCGGCCCGCACGATGCGCGCCGAGGGCAGTGCCAGGCGCGGCGCCGCCGAGGAGCTTCTTCCCTCCCCCGCGGCGGCGACCCGCGGCCGGGACCCCCTCTCGCGGCGGGGGGGCGGCCGCGCGGCGGCCTCGGCACCGGGCAGGGCTGCTCCGCCCCCCCGCTGCCCTCTCCCGCACCATGAGGGGAGGGGACGCGGGGCAGCACCCACGCCGGCGGCAGGTAGAGCGCGGGCGGCTGCTGCCCCTCCTCTCCTGCGCCATCCTCGCGTGCTGCGTCGAGGTGGCGGCGCTCCGGGACTTCTCAGGTACGAGGCGGTACGGAGCGTGCGGAGGGAGGGAAGCGCGTCCGGGGGAGCGCAGAGCGTGATTCAGATGTGCCGCGGAGGTGCGGATGAAGGACGAGAGGGTTAAGAGGAGCCCGAGGGGTCGGGCGGGAGGGCTTCGCCTGTTGGCCGCCGTCGGTTTCCAGCACCGCGCTCTGGGAAAGCCGCGTGCGGATCGTCCGGGACCCGATTCCGAGTGCGTGGAAGTCCCTGGAAAGGTTCCCACTTTCTCCCGTAGGCTTGGAGTCGCGCCCTGCGGGCACAGCAGCTCCCTTTGGGAGAGAGCCCTTGGGGGTGCCGGCTGGAGTGGCCCTGAAGGGAGTAGGGTCCTCGGTCACCGTGTCAAATGAGGTGCCAGTGCCAACTGGGAGGGTGTCCTCGGTCCAGCAGAGAGAGAAAACAATCTCTGTTCTGTTTGGGACTGCAGCACCCCTGTGCTCTCCTTGTATTCCAGGACATCTCGCTGCTGTTGTGAAGTTATTTTTACAGGAACAGTCCCTTTCCTCTCTGTGTTTCACAGTAAGCACAGCCTATTCCTGGCAGCTGCGAGCTTAAGGAACTGCCCCTAAGGCAAAAGGCAAAGCTTACCTTTAATGAATACCCTTCCCAAAGCCAGTCAACTGCACTGGAACTAAGTTAGTATATGATTAATAACACAAATGTGGCATTACACAGATTAATATAGCTCATATTAATGCGGTTCAAAAGGCCAGTGGTGGTTCTGCAGAAACCAGATGCGTTCTCTCAGCAGCAGGAACAGTGATTTTGTTGTTGTGTCAAACTCCTTAAACCTGAACGTTTCTAAGGAAGCAACCACCAAATGTTAAAAAAAAACAAACAAACAAACAAAAAAAACAGAACTCTATGCTAGGATTAACTACATTTCTCCTTTTAGATTCCTTCACAAATAAAAGGCTTTTCCATATAGTAGGTTCTTGCTGGTTGTTTGGTTTGCTTGCTTGGCTGCTGGGCTTTAGATGTTAGCTTTGGAGTTGCATGTAGTTCTTCACAAGGGAACAGAAGTTCAGATTTTCTCTTCCAAATAGCCACTGAGTTATAAAATATCCCTCAAGTTTATCTAGGAAAGTTCCCCTTACAAAAGTCCATTCACATTTAAAATGAAGTTATTCAGATAAGGTTATCCAAGATCCATTTCAGAAGTACAGCTGTATTCAGTATTTCATTGTGCACTTTCTAAATAAGTAGAAAGACCAAAGATAATTCTCCAACTCGACCCAGAATTCAGCATTAAAAATGTCATGTGGACAATTCAGTAAATAAATAAAATGTAGGAAAGATTAGATTCCGAAGTTCTTGCCAATCCAGACTGGGGGCGTTTCCAGGCCTGAAAAAATTCCAGATGCATTTTCTTTTTGCTTTTAATAGAGACACAATCCAGAAAATACAGAAATGTTACTGGATCTATTTAAAATAAGGGCATCTGGAACACACTGGGAAGATTTTAGCTACTTCAAAGGTAGGGAAATGCATGACAGGTGCTGCAGGCCAGGAGCTGTCAGATGTAAGACAACACCTTGTAATGCCATCCTGAGCCTGCTTCAGACCTGTTACATGGTTAGAACAAGCTCTGTAACACCAGCTTTAAACTGAGCTTCCAGAACTGCTAGATTTCCTTATTTGCTCTTTCCCTCAGTAGGATCAGCTTGATTTTCACAAGCTCTGCTAAATACACATGGAAACAAATCTGTTCTGTTTAAAGGGCCAGCGCCCTGCAGCTGCCAAGATGCTGGCTGCTCCTTGGGGATTATCTCGGAGGTGACAGGAAGGGAGCTGGGTATCCTTGCTTTGCAGGCATCCTGCACTTTCACCAATCTCGAAGCCCAGCTCTCTCCTTTACCCCTCTGAAGGAAAAGCTTCCAGGTGACAGGTTGCACTCTTCCACATAAGGATCATGTCATAGCAGAAGGAACTGAGTTCAGGACCATGAATGCATTCTGCATGTTTTGATCTCCAATTGGAAATTTAGGAGTGCACTGAGAATGGGAGGGAAAGTTGCTTAAACTTTTCCTCTTCTTCACAGATTTCAGGCTTTTCTACTCAGATCATCAGGTGCATACTTTCTTGGGTCATTGCCTTTTTCCGCTCTGTGTGTTTCCAGCATCAGATCTCTACCTCAGCAGCCCAAACTCTGTTTCTTTCTTCGTTTTCTCTTTCCATCTCTTTTTCTCCTCATTCTCTCTCTCTGACAGCTTTCTCTAATCCCCAGCCTGCTGTCAGATTGCACCAACTTTACATGTAACCTTTTTTGCTCTCCTTCTGTATGCATTACTTTGTGCTAGCAATTCTAACTTGCCCCAGTCCAGTTGTTAATCACAAGACCTACCTGCTGCTTGTAACAACGTAAAGATGACCCCTCTTCGGATTTGTCTGGTGGTTTGGAAAGCAGGAGGGTAAAAGCAGACAGGAATATATGTAGATAGTGAAAGTTTGTGGTTGTTTTTTTGTTTTTTGTTTTTTTTTTTTTAATGTTTGACTTGTATTTATTTCCCCATTTAGTAAACAGTGGCCATTTTTTATGGATCACTTCACAGAACAGAAGCAGTGAAACTTTCACAGTATTTGTCCCTCCCTTTTCATAAGACACAGGGTCACAGTGCTGGCTGTGAGTAGAATCCCTTCATTTGGCTATTGCAACTCGGTTGTCATCATGATCTTGTTATTGCACTTGCTCTCCTAGGATATATAGCTGCAGATTCTTGTTCTTGCGTTTCTTAGCCTAGCTTTTAACTATGGAAGTGTTTTGTTTTGTTTGCTTGGAGACATTTTTTCACTGTGCACTAATGGTTTATGAATCGGTATGTGAATTGGTATTTTCTGGACAGAAGAATATTCTGAAACAAGAATCTGGCAGCAGAGTTCTAAATCAACTGAGTATGAAGGACTCAGTAAGCAAAATTAGCTGCTCCTTAGTAACAGGAGATATCTGAGGTAAAGTCATGTTGATAAGCAGGGTAGTTAAAGATCCATGTAGTCTATTCTTCTCTAGCAGTTTGGTAGCAACAAAGAACATATTTATTGTTTATATTGGTTATTGAAATTAGAGGTTAGTCCTCAAGTCTGCAGTCTTCTGGAATGATTCCTTTCTTAAAGTGAAATCCGAACATGTAAGCCAAAATTTGAATATGAAAGCTGAAGGTTAGGGGAGGGTGGAGAAAGAGTGAGAGAATCCACAGTTTTTTTTCCTTAGATCTTTGTGCATATTGGTTTGAGGTAGAGAATTTTCTTCCTATTATCTGCTTTTCCAAAGACATTCAAACTCTTTTTTTCACCAAAATTTTTAATCGTATCCACAGTTTTGTTCCTACTTGGCAAAGCTCTGTCCTCATGTTGTTTTTCTCAGTGCCCACTTGCAACTTTCACATTTCAGGCTGGACTTCAGTCCAGGAGACTGAAGACTGCTGTGAATTTTGCTAAATCTCAGGAAGCTAAAAGCCCTACTGGTCTGGGCTCCCAGGAGACCGTCAGCAGTGAAAAGGGACATCTTTTCAACAGATGATGGCTACATGACAGCTATTTCCTCACCACTCCTCTATGCTCCTGGACTGGTTCTCAAAGCAGGCTAAATAAAGAGCTCGCAAGACCAGCTAGCTTGCATACTGCATTTAATATACATCTCATCCTGGTTCTGTTGAAAGCCCGACTGCCTGCTACCAGTGATATTGTGGTAGTAGACATCCCTAGGCTGGTGCAGTGGGGATGGTGGCAGTTGTTGAGAAGAGCATACCTTCTGAACAGCAGGAGTCACTGCTTCCTTGTCTCAACCCCCTGCTCTCTAGGTTAGCTATGGAAAAAGCACTGGGCTCTTCCCTTGGCTCTCTGCCCTAGCTCTGATTCTTCTCCCACCTTTTCCTGCTCTGTGGCAAAAATGAACTCTTCTAAGGACAAACTCCTCACCAGCAGCACTTAGGGAAGCCTACAAGAAGATATGAAAAAGGAGAACGAGTATTTCACTTCTTTTTTTTCTCCTCTTCCTCCTCCACGAGCTACATTGAGCGTAGGCCTTCTGCTTGAACTGGCTTCCGTTGCTCAATTCATCACTCAGTTGTCCTCTCTTTACCTTAGTCCCAGCCAGGTTTTCTGGGCAGCTTTCAAGAAATGTGTCTGTAACCGAAGATCAGAAATGAAGTAACTGTGTGATTGCATAACTGGGCTGAAGAAAGACTGTGGATGTGAACAGAGAAAGTGGCCTGCTTTGTAGGTAGAACCTTTTAACCTTTGTGCACTGGTGTCAACTTTTCTTTTGTCTTCCAGAAAGTTCAGACAGAACTAGGCATTACTTTAACTCCATAGACTCAATCTTCTGGCCTAATAATAGAGAACAAATGGATCTAATGAAAAAGCAAACCAGTTCACCCAAGAAATATAATCTCATCTTGTGGCTTTTCTGCATTAAAAGTTTCCATTAAGTTCTGTGGCATTTACTGATTCCCAGATTCCCCCAGGCAAAAGGAAAGCAAACAAATACTTTGAGCAAATGCTTTGTTTGTAATAATGTGGCAGGATCAATCAAGACCAACCACAATGATGCAGAGAGGGTTTTTTTTCTTGGCTTTACATTCGTCAGATAAAATCCTGTATAAATTTTCTGGAGTCAGTTCTGTTGATTCATTGTGGCAAGTGGAGCTTGTACTTCCACCAACATACATAATGAGGTGCTAAAAGGAGTGATGTCAGTGATGCATCTTCTTGATACTGGCTTGTAAATGTCAAATGCAAGTTTTGGTTGCTTTGTTTAAAGAGGAACATTTCATTTTAGAAACGTTTCATTTCAGTAATATGGGAGTTAAACCTCAAAATCTGGTTTAAAGTTTCTTAAAGTAGGGTGGGTTTGGATTTGGAAATTATTCTGTGAAACAGGGGTGTGTGTTAGAAGTGAGAACCAAGATTTTGCTTCAGGCTGATCTCTGCAGTTCCAGTTGCTTTCCTGAGGGAATGGGACTTGAGAAATCCAATTTTATACA